GACTCAAACAATTATGGATCTGGATCAAACTTGGCACGAATACTCAATATGCTGAAATGTGAACACTGGAGGAGTTTGAAAAAAATAGACCTTGACATTTGGGAGTTGTAGTTGCTGGGATTTATAGTTCACCTACAATGAAATAACATTCTGAATCCCACCAATGATAAAATTGGACCAAACTTTCCACACAGGACCCATGACCAACAGAAAATACTATGTTTTCTGATGATCTTTGGCGACCCCTCTGACACCCCCTCGCGACCCCCACAGGGGTCCTGACCCCCAGGTTGAGAAACACTGCTCTAGAACATGGCCATATAGCCCGAAAAAAACTACAACAACCCAATGTTATGGTTGGGGGTCACCACAACACGAGGAACTGTCTGAAGGGGTTTCAGTATTAGGATTGGGAAACTCTGGTATATTGGTGATCGAACAGAAAATCCTTGAAGAAGCAAAAGGACCATCGGGTTAATTATTTTGCTGCTAATTGTGGAAAGAATTTTGACATGTCATTTTCAAAAAATGTGTTTTTGCACCGGAGGCTGTCTTGGCACCGGGGAATGAATGCCGCTTGAGTTGTTTCAGTTGACAAAGGTATGCTGGCGCTAGATATGTGCTTCATATCATTGTCATTACATTGTCTATTTTTAAATCCCGACTGCCGGCCAACGTTAAGCACGGCAGGCTGTTGTGTGTGAGTTGACGTTCAACAATACTGTCTTCTCTCAAGCCTTACTGCAACAATTAATACCTCGACACCGCATTATAGTTAATTTCTGGAGGGAAGATAGAAAAGAAACAGGGACGTGCATAACCACATCTTCTCCAAAGAGCCAAAAATATACAATAATTTCATGATTCCCTTCCATCTTTTTTGGTGGATGTCTGCCGCCCAACCGTTGCCAATTCTTAAGATGCTTGGTTTTCAACAGCCTCTTGAGGAAAGAATTTTAAATGGTTCAGTGACGTCAAGGAGGCCGCTGAGGGTGGGAGGAGGTGGTCGAGGGACCCTGAAATTCATTGCCAAGTTCTCGTCGCCATTAAAGAAAAGATAGGAAATGAGAAATTGCTTTGCACCGCAGCTCATGAATGCTGCTCTCTCGGCTGATTCTTGTATTATACTTTCTACCCAAAGTGAGATGGAGACCCAAAGACCGCTCTTCTAATTTGAACAAGTCATAGGTAGCCAAAACTATCAGTTCTCATCAAAATGTTGGAAAGCCATCCGGAGTCTGAAGAAGCGCTCACGAATAAGCCGCGGGTTGCCAAAGGGAATACATTGAGCACAATGGACAAGAAGCTGAACCTCTTGAACGAAAAGGTCGACAAATTATTGAATTTCCAGGAGGACTTGACAGGGAAGCTCCAGAAAGTGAACCAAGGGATTGACGATTTGGGGCAAGGCCTTCGGAAGTTGTCCGTGCCTGAAACACCTACTCTTGATGGTGGCACGAAGAAAAGTCTGGAATCGGAAGATGAGGTTCTTCAGATGGATACCCGCAGCACGTGTGGCGAGATCCTAAGGCTGATCAAAGCAACCCATCGAGATAACTCAATATACAGTGAGAGGATTGAAAAGATGGAGAAAATGATGGATTCGGTGGACAAAATTGTGAAGTTTTTGGGAGAAACATTTAAAAACTCAAAGGTGGTGGACTTTATTCTGAAGGGGGGACTTCCTTGGCGGAAAGGGAGTCCAGTTGAAATCCTACCTGAGGTTAGTCTGTACCTTTGTTCCTTACTTTAGGCCAGTGGTTCTCAACCTTCCTAATGCCGCGACCCCTTAATAGAGTTCCTCATGCTGTGGTGACCACCAACCACAAAATTATTTTCGTTGCTACTTCATAACTATAATTTTGCTACTGTTATGAATCGTAATGTAAATATATTATATGCAAGATGTGTTTTCATTCACTGGACCAAATTTGGCACAAATACCCAATACACTCAAATGTGAATACTGGTAGAGTTGGGGGGAGGGGGATTGATTTTGTCATATGGGAGTTGTAGTTGTTGGGATTTATAGTTCACCTACAATAAAAGAGAATTCCGAACTCCACCAATGATGGAATTGAACCAAACATGGCACACAAGACTCCCACGACCAACAGAAAATACTGGAAAGGTATGGTCAGCATCGACCTTGAGTTTTGGAGTTGTAGTTCACCTACATCCAGAAAGAAATGTGGACTCAAATAATGATGGATCTGGACCAAACTTAAGATACTCAAGATGCCCAAATGTGGACACTGGAGGAGTTTGGGGAAAATAGACCTTGACATTTGGGAGTTGTAGTTGCTGGGATTTATAGTTCACCTACAATCAAAGAGCATTCTGAGCCTCATCAACGATAGAATTGGGCCAAACTTCCCACAAAGATCCCCCGTGATCAACTGAAAATACTGTGTTTTCTGATGGTTTTTGGCAACCCCTCTGACATGCCCTCATGAACCCCCCAGGGGTCCCGACCCCCCAGGTTGAGAAACGTTGCTTTAGACCTTGAACTCTTCCATAGTCATCATGTCTCCCATTGAGATGATAATGCCTTACAGACTCTGTTTACATGGTCTTATTTTCTGGAACCATCTACAGCAGTGTTCCTCAACATGGGGGTCGGGACCCCTGGGGAGGTCGCATGGGGGAGTGTAGAAGGGTCACCAAAGACCATCAGAAAACATCCAATTTATGGTGACTCTAAAGCAGTGTTTCTCAACTGCGGGTGGGGACCCATGGGGGGGGGGGGGGTTGCAAAGGGGGTTTCAGAGGGGTCGCCAAAGACACCAGAAAACTCAGTATTTTCTGTTGGTCATGAGGGTTCTGTGTGTGAAGTTTGGCCCATTTCTATCATTGATGGGATTCAGAATGCCCTTTGATTGTAGGTGAACCATAAATCCCAACAACTACAACCCCCAAGTGTTAAGGTCTATTTCCCCCAAATTCCACCAGTGTTCACATTTGGGCGTATTGAGGAATTGTACCAAGTTTGGTTCAGATCCACCATTGTTGGAGTCCACAGTGCTCTCTGGATGTAAGTGAACTACAACTCCAGAACTCAAGGTCAATGCCCACTAAACCCTTCCAGTATTTTTGGGTGGTCATGGGAGTGTTGTGTACCAAGTTTGGTTCAATTCCATCGTTGTTGGAGTTCAGAATGGTCTTTGATTGTAAATCCCAGCATCTACAACTCCCAAATGACAAAATCAATCCCCTACAACCCCACCAGTATTCACATTTGAGTGTATTGGGCATCCTGCATATCAGATATTTACATTACAATTCATAACATTAGTAAAATTACAGTTATGAAGTAGCAACAAAAATAATATTATGGTTGGGGGTCACCTCAATATGAGGAACTGTATTAAGGGGTTGTGGCATTAGGAAGGCTGAGAAATGGTATATAATATTTGGATTTGAAATACACACATATATATGTTTTTATTTATTTTTCTACACAAGACTTCAGTTAGTTTTGCAAACTGCAATAGGATTTGCACTTTTAAAGTTTTGTCCTAATGCCTGTTTCCTCCCCCTGCTTGGATCCATTTGGAGATACAGACGAGTGCATCATGTGTGTGTGTATATATTAAACCAAAGCAGATACTGAGCTGCTGAGTATCCTATGAATATCCGAGTTCTGGATGCTATGTTTTGCCTTGAATGGTGCAGGCTTTTATCAGTCGATGGAGAGAGGTTTTCAGAAATGTCCCAGTCGAACATGTCTCCAAATGGGCAGATAAGCGCAGAGCAAATAAACAAAGGCACAAAGTCAAGCGGCACAAACAACTGGGTTTCTTGGGTGCGTTCCCTCGTATTCAAGTGGGCTTAACAAGGTAAACAAAACCGGGATCCAAGAATCTGTTTTGGAATCGCCGAGTTAAGTAGAGGAGAGAGTGTTCTCAGCAGAAGGCTTTCTGCTGCCTATTTGTCGCATTTTATGGAGAACAGTCCTTTGTTGGAAGGTGCCCTCAATTTTAGGGGATGGACATCACCTCATCTTCCACATATCCTTGGACTGCAACACCCAGCAATCTTACCCACCAAACCTAGCCCTTTATTTGGAGCTCCGTCAGCATGTGAGAGATAGCATAGTGTAGCAATGTGTTGGAGATTGCAAGCCAACAGTACATATGACTATCTGACCAGGGATAATGGGCATTGCAGCCCAACAGCATATATGACTATCTGACTGGGGATAATGGGAATCGAAACCTAACAGCATATCTAACTATCTGACTGGGGATAATGGGAATTGCATCCCAACAGCAGATATGACTATCTGACTGGGGATAATGGGAAATGCAACCCAACAGCATATATGACTATTTGACTGGGGATAATGGGAATTGCAACTCAACAGCATATATGACTATCTGATTGGGGATAATAGGGATTGCAACCCAACAGCATATATGACTATTTGACTGGGGATAATGGGCATTGCAACCCAACAGCATATATGACTGACTGGGGATAATGGGAATTGCAACCCAACAGCATATATGACTATCTGACTGGGGATAATGGGTATTGAAACCCAACAGCATTTATGGCTATCTGACTGGGGATAATGGGAATTGTAACCCAACAGCAGATATGGCTATCTGACTGGGGATAATGGGGATTGCAACCCAACAACATATCTGACTAGGGATAATGGGCATTGCAACCCAACAGCATATATGAATATCTGACTGGGGATAATGGGAATTGCAACCTAACAGCATATATGACTATCTGACTGGGGATAATGGGAATTGCAACCCTTTTTATTATATATATGTTTGTTTGTAAGAGGCTTGACTTTTTAAATATTGGGTTACAGTGGGCCACCAAGAACTTCTCCCCTTCTCAAGCTATTTGGATCTCCCTTTTGTGCTTGCTGGCTGCTCGGTTTGTTCTCTGGGGATGCGGAAAGTCAACGAGAAAAGGAATTCACATTCGTAGCTCAACCAGTGCCAATAATTTCTCGTTTTTATTTTTCCTCCCTTTAGACTAAAGATAAGCCAGAAGAGAAAGGTGCCAAAGCGAAGCATGCACCTGCCAACAAAGGGATCCAGGCAGAAGGCAAGACTTCCTTGGAAGGTACTTCCCCATTTAACCTGATGAAGAAATCAGAAATCAGAGAATCATAGAATAAAGCCACCCTCGACCTAGACCAGTGGTTCCCAACCCTTTTTTTGACCAGGGTCCACTTTGACCAGGGCCCACGTTGACCAGATCCAATTTTGACCAAGGCCCACTTTGACCAGGGACATCTTTGACTAGGGCCCACTTTGACCAGGACCCACTTTGACCAGGACCCACTTTGACCAGGACCCACTTTGACCAGGACCCACTTTGACCAGGACCCACTTTGACCAATGCCCACTTTGACCAAGGCCCACTTTGATCAGGGACCACTTTGACCAGGACCCACTTTGACCAGGACCCATTTTGACCAAGGCCCACTTTGACCAGGGACTTCTTTGACCAAGGCCCACTTTGACCAGGACCCACTTTGACCAGGACCCAATTTGACCAATGCCCACTTTGACCAAGGCCCACTTTTACCAAGGCCCACTTTAACCAGGGTCCACTTTGACCAGGACCCATTTTGACCAAGGCCCACTTTGACCAGGGCCCACTTTGACCAATGCCCTTTTTGACCAAGGCCCACTTGACCAAGGCCCACTTTGATCAGGGACCACTTTGACCAGGACCCACTTTGATCAGGGCCCACTTTGACCAAGACTCACTTTGACCAAGGCCCACTTGACCAAGGCCCACTTTGATCAGGGACCACTTTGACCAGGACCCACTTTGATCAGGGCCCACTTTGACCAAGGCCCACTTTGACCAAGGCCCACTTGACCAAGGCCCACTTTGATCAGGGACCACTTTGACCAGGACCCACTTTGATCAGGGCCCACTTTGACCAGGGTCCAATTTGACCAGGCCCATTTTGACCAGGGCCCACTTTGACCAAGACCCACTTTGACCAAGGCGCACTTTTACCCAGGCTCACTTTGACCAGGCCCCATTTTGACCAAGGCCCACTTTGACCAGGGCCCACTTTGACCAGTGCCCACTTTGACCAAGGCCCACTTTGAGCAGGGCCCACTTTGACCAGGGTCCAGTTTGACCAGGCCCCATTTTAACCAGGACCCACTTGACCAGGGCCCACTTTGACCAAGACCCACTTTGACCAAGGCCCACTTTGATCCAGGCTCACTTTGACCAGGGCCCACTTTGACCCAGGCTCACTTTGACCAGGGCCCACTTTGACCAAGGCCCACTTTGACCAATGCCCACTTTGAGCAGGGCCCACTTTGACCAATGCCCACTTTGAGCAGGGCCCACTTTGACCAGGGTCCAATTTGACCAGGCCCCATTTTGACCAGGAACCACTTGACCAGGGACCACTTGATCAGAGTCCAATTTGAACAGGTCCCACTTTGACTAGGGGCCACTTTGACCACGGCCCACTTGACTAAAGACCACTTTGACCAGGGATCAGTTTGACCAGGTCCCATTATGAGCAGGGCCCACTTTGACCAGGGTCCAATTTGACCAGGCACCACTTTGACCAGGACCCAATTTGACCAGGATCCACTTTAACCAGGACCCACTTTGACCAGGGTCCACTTTGACCACGGCCCACTTTGACCAGGAATCAGTTTGACCAGGTCCCATTTTGACCAGGGCCCACATTGACCAGGGCCCAATTTGAGAGGACCCACTTTGACCAGGGCCCACTTTGACTTTGCACTTTAACAACACAACTGTTCAATGCTAAGACTTCTTGCCAAAATGGAACTGTAGAGGAGAGTCTACTGAGCAAGCCAGTACCTGCCACATAGCAGTACAGCCATCTATTGAGGAGTTACGAAGGTGGAAGCATTACTTTTCATTCAACCTTTAAAAATAGAAATGAATTAATAAACACAACAAAGTTTTATATATATCTTTTTTTCCTTTTTTTCAAATCAGAGGTTTTTTTTTAACTTTTTGAACTCCAAGTCCATTGGACATGCTTAAGGCTTCCCGGTGTTAAAAAAAGTAACTTTCCCAAGATCTGCTCCTGACCTATCCATGGATCCTTCTAATGTTAAGAATGTTGTTTCTATCCCTAGAAAACAAAAGGGAGAAAAAACTGGACGAACGTAGTGGAGGATGTGAAAAGGTGAATGCGGTCAGTCCAGTCGTCTCCAAAGTTGACTCCAACCTCCATGTCAAGGAGAGGATGGCCCAGCTGGAAAGAGCCGAAATGCCTGGACAGACAAAGGGCAGCAAAGTGTGTCCAAAGCAAAAGGAAAGTAGTATCAAGGTTGTGGTCCAGAAGAGTGGCCTGGCTTCTAGCAAAAGCAGCGCTAATCCCTCAGGAAGCCAGAATACGGACACGACCTCCTCTGGCCTGGAAGACCTTTCTCAAAAGCCCAAGGAAATGGGGAAAAACACCTCCAGGCTCAGCGCGCCCACAAAGGAAGCAGAACCACCGGCCTCAAAGTCTGGCAGTGACGTTGTGCGGACAAGGTAACGGCCTTGCCTATTGTCTACTCTAGGATACTGAGAATAGAAGGGGACCCAAGAGCTTAGAACGGTGTTTCTCAACTTGTGCGTCGGGACCCCTGAAGAGTCACGAGGGGGTGTCAGAGCGGTCACCAAAGAAAACACAGTATTTTCTATTGGCCATGGACTCAAACAATGATGGATCTGGACCAAACTCTACAGGAATACTCATTATGCCCAAATGTGAACACTGGTGGAGTTTGGGGAAAATAGAATCTTGACATTCGGAAGTTGTAGTTGCTGGGATTTATAGTTCACCTACAATCGAGGTGGCCCTAGGTAATTTTCAACGTTAAGCAAACAGTATTTTGCCCCCCCCCCCGCCCCCAACCCATCACTGATATATATTTTCTGTTCTTTCGTGGGAGTTCTGTGTGCCATATTTGGTTCAATTCCATCATTGGTGGAGTTCAGAATGCTCTTTGATTGTAGGTGAACTATACATCCCAGTAACTACACTTGCTGCACTTGCTCCCTTGCCTGGCCTGCTTTGGGTCCGGAGGCATGCCTGAAGACCCCGGCGTGTGCACCAAAAGTCACCTCTTCTCCTGACTTTCTCCTCAGCCATTGGGAGAGAGAGAGAGAGGTGGAGATGCCCACCTTTCCTGAAGGTAGGCGCAAAAACAAAGGAGGGAGCGGAGGTGGGAGATACCTCCAGCCGGAGGGGCTCTCTCTCTCTCTCTTGGTCCCAATGGCGGAAGAGAAAGTCAGGAGAAGAGGCGACTTTTGGTGCGCACGCTGGGGTCTTCAGACACGCCTCCAGACCCGAAGCGGGCCAGACGCAGCGGCTCCACCCCTTGGCCCACCTGCGGATTGGGGAGAGGAGAGGAGGCGGAGGGCCGGGGGATCGGGAAAGGGAGCCGGTCATGGGGAAGGGATCGAACGCAGAGAACGATTGAGCGCCGGCTCTGCTCGCGCACCCGGTGGCCGGGTGGAGCAGGAACGAGAGGGGCTAGGCGAGGCTCAAGGGCCCGGCCCCTTGGGAAGAGGATCGCCCGGGAGTGAGGCAAGAAAGCCAAGGCTCCCCCCGGACTGCTCGGACTGTTGTGAGCTGAGGGGGCATTCCTCAAGTGGCAGTCGAGGGGCATTTACAGAGGCACCTCTGCGCCCCTGGCAAAAAAAAGTGTTCTGCGACTGCTTACTTCGCGTAATGGACGAGCCGCCCCTGCCTACAATCACAGTGCATTCTGAACTCCACCAACGATAGAATTGAACCAAACTTAGCGCACAGGATTCCCATGACCAACAGAAAATACTGGAAGGGTTTGGTGGGCATTGAGCTTGAGTTTGGGAGTTGGAGTTCACCTACATCCAGAGAGCACTGTGGACTCAAACAATGATGGATTTGGACCAAATTTGGCACAAATCCTCAATACACCCAAATATGAAGACAGATAGAGTTTGGGGGAAATAGACCTTGACATTTGGGAGTTGTAGTCACTGGAAGTCACAGTTCACCTACAATCAAAGAGCATTCTGAACCCCAGAACGACAGAATTGGGGCAAACTTCCCACACAGAACCCATGACCAACAGAAAATACTTAAGGCCATCCAGTCCAACTCCCTTCACCAGGGCAAGAAAACGTAATCAAAGCCCTCCTGACAAAGAGCCATCCAGCCATAGATATAGATAGATATGATTCACACACACAGAGATATAGTATCATAGATTTGAAAGGGACCCCTCAAGAAGGACAATGATATGTTGCCTGTTCCAAAGTAGGCAAACCAGACAATCTCCACATCAACAGTGACAAAGAAAAAATAAGAAATACTGTTTGCCCACAAACATAAAGAAATTATATATATTAGAAACCAACACTTTCTCATTACTTTATTTTCCAGATCACCAGACTGGGCCACAGCAACACGTGGCAGGGGGCAGCTAGTATTATATATGTTAACATTAACATATAATATATAACATATATGTTAATGTTTTTAAAATGTTTTAAATGTTTTTATGGTGTTGTTGGGCATTGATTTGTTGCTTCTGTAAACCGCCTTGAGTTGCCTGCAGGCTGGGAAGGGTGGTATAGAAATATAGCAAATAAATAAATATGGGATAGTAGTTTGAGTGTTGGTCCTCAATTCTGGAGACCAGGGTTCAAATCCCCACTTGGCCACTGAAACCCACTAAATGAACATGGGCAAGTCACATTCTCTCAGCCTCAGAGGAAGGCAACAAGCCTCTGAACAAATCTTGCCAACAAAGCCCTATGATAGGTTTGTCTAAAGGTCACCGTCAGTCGGAAACAGTTCAACGGCACATGCAACAAGGCTATTACATGAAACCGCTGGGGGAGAGCATCCAGAGTTTCGGGGTACGATGTCATCTGTACGTGGATGATGTCCAACTCTGTCACTCCTTCCTACCTGCTACTAAGGAGGCTGTTCAGGTCCTGAACCGGTGCTTGGCCGCTGTGACGGTCTGGATGAGGGCGAACAAATTGAAATTGAATCCAGACAAGACAGAGGTCCTACTGGTCAGTCGCAAGGCCGAACAGGGTATAGGGTTACAGCCTGTGTTGGACGGGGTGACACTCCCCCTGAAGACGCAGGTTCGCAGCTTGGGTGTGATCCTGGACTCATCACTGAGCCTGGAACCTCAGGTTTCAGTGGTGACCAGGGGAGCATCCGCACAGTTAAAACTTGTGCGCCAGCTGTACCCGTACCTTGGGAAGTCTGATTTGGCCACGGTAGTCCACGCTCTGGTTACATCCTGTATAGACTACTGCAATGCTCTCAACGTGGGGTTGCCTTTGAAGACTGCTCGGAAGCTTCAATTAGTCCAACGAGTGGCAGCCAGGATGCTAACAGGAGCGGCATTCAGGGAGCATACAAATCCTCTGTTGTGCTAGTGGCTGCCAGTTTGCTACCGGGCACAATTGAAAGTGCTGGCGTTAGCCTATAAAGCCCTAAACAGTTCTGGCCCGACTTACCTCTCCGAACGCATCTCCTCCTGTGAACCAGCTAGGACATTAAGATCATCTGGGGAGGCCCTGCTCTCGGTCCCGCCGGCATCACAAGCACGCCTGGCGGGGACGAGAGACAGGGCCTTCTCAGTGGTGGCCCCTCGGCTGTGGAACGCCCTTCCTACAGATATCAGATCGGCCCCCTCCTTATTGGCATTTCGGAGGAAAGTGAAGACCTGGCTGTTCGAACAGGCATTCGATTAGGCAGTGTAATTGATTATAGGAACACGGCATAATGGATGGTGAGATTGGATTCTGATTCTATTGATGAGACGTGAATGATTTGTCATATTGATGTTTAATTGTTGTTATGTTATTGTTTCTAAATGCTCCAATGGGTTTTCTTTGTAGGCTTTCAATCGATGTCCAAATGACCGACGCTCAAAACAAGGCTTCTAAAAGCAAAGAAGGAACGATCAGCAGCCCTGGAGGCAAGAGTGCGGAGGCACCAGCCGTTGTTCCTTCGCTCCCAGTTGGTGAAGGAGCAAAACATTTGCCTGAATCTTGTAAAGCAAAGCAGCTTTCTAAGGGCAGCAGGACTGAACCCACACCAGAACTGAAAGGAAGGAAGCCTTTTGCTAAGCCAGGGGAAAAGCAGGCACCCAAAACTCAGGTCCTACTGTCAGTGCCATCTCCAAAGACTGAAGAAAAGGCAGAGAGCCAATGCAAGGCTGTGCCATGCCCAGCGTCGGTTGCAAAAGACCCAGGGAAGGATCCAGGAAGCCCAGTGAAAAGCCCCGAGGAAACAACAACAGGAATGAAAGACTCTGGGAAAGATGTCAAGCCAGAAAGCATGGAATCGAGGAGCCTGGTGTTAAGGAGACGGGAGAGCAGATCTGGTCAAGGAGCGGAGACACCATCAGAAAATGCCTCATTGCAAGTGGCTGGCAAAGCAGAGGAAGTGGTCATTGGTAAGTAGCTGGTAATGTTGGATATCCATTATCCAAAATTCCTAGGACCAGAAATGTCCTGTATTTTGGACATTCTTTTGGACCTTGGAATACTTGCATATACACAATGTGATGCTTTGGAGATGGGGGTGGATCTGAGTGCAACATTTGTCTATGCCTCACTTCTGTTTTTAAATCTTTAAGGAGCAACAAGGCTCTCTGTATATCAGAGGTTCCCAAACTTTTTTTGACCAGGGACCACTTTGACCAGGGACAATTCTCCAACATTAGTATCAAATTGAACACAATACACCTATCAGGCCAACGAGTGACCATCACTCATCAAAACACTGAAAAACACAGCGGAAGAGATTTAAAAAGCCAAAAATTTAAAAAAAACATTACAATGCATGCACAAAACCACATATATACACATATACACAAATATATTTGTGTGTTCTGGTACAGCTGTACCAGGAGCTCCAATTTTGTTTGTTTTGCATTGAATGTTTGTTTGTAGTCCTAAGTTTCAGGGACTCTGCAGATAGGTGGCTTCTTTTGGCTGCAGTCATAGGTCAGGCCACCTGTCCGTCATCATTAAGTTTTGGTCCTGCCCCTTGCTCAGGGCAATTGGGAAGGGAAGTGGGCCATTTTGTTAGTTAGTCTCAGTCAGGTTAGCTTATGTATAGGATGTGTGTAACTTCCCCTGTACAAAAGCTTCAACCTTTAAGAACTCCAGGGAAGCATTCCTACAGCTTTAAGAATTTCCAGGAAAACAGCCTTGAAGACTAAAGAACTCCAGCTGGAGAATATTCACTGCCTTGCTGGTAGGTCCACTCGGCGTCCGAGAAGCAGTTCGGCCCGGTAGCGGAGCCCACATCAGTGAGGGTTGGATTTCAGTCAGCCTGGGAGAAGTTAAAAAGGGGAATTTTCCTTTAAAGAAAAAGTTATTGAAGATAGTGCCTGTCCCCTGTGGACAAGATTGAGGGAGACAATGGTTTATCAAGAAAGCCTTGAAGTACCTGTTTGATTTCATTAATAAAAGACTTTGTTGTATTTCTCAAGCCACAAGGAGAAATATACACTGTACATGACTTCCTTATATACAATTCTATACAATTACACATAGCAACCTCTGATTGGCTCCCAACTCATTAACTTAACTCAGACCCCGGATTACATCATTCACAATTACCTGGATTAGGCCAGAACACATTCCCCAAATGATTCCCTATATACAGTTAATGCATGACTCAGCATTTCCAATAGAAGCCCATTAGCAGTGCATGACTCAGCTATTTTACATTACAATACATTGTAAAACCTGACAATAAAGTAGTGGGGATTTCCTTGTTGCCCTGTTTTTCAGAGCCTTTGGACCTTATTAATTCAAAGATAAGTTTACATACTTTCAAAAGCTTTAAAATCTGTTTTCATTTATTACTGTTGTTTGATATGCTTTAATTTTTTTATTTTTTTCTATTGCTTTAAATGTTATAGGGATGCTTTGTGTAGTTTCCCATTGGGATAAAAATGCTTTTGCTCCCTGGTTGTGTTAAAATAACAAAGACTTCTGTGCTGCTGTAAGACTCACATGTATTGATGTATTGTCGAAGGCTTTCATGGCCGGAATCACTGGGTTGTTGTAGGTTTTTCCGGGCTATATGGCCATGTTCTGGAGGCAATTTTTCTCCTGACGTTTCTGCCTGCATCTATGGCAAGCATCCTCAGAGGTAGTGAGGTCTGTTGGAAGTAGGAAAAATGGGTTTATATATCTGTGGAATGACCAGGGTGGGACAAAGGACTCCTGTCTGCTGGAGCTAGGTGTGAATGTTTCAACTGACCACCTTGATTAGCATTTGATGGCTTGGAAGTGCCTGGGGGAATCTTTTGTTGAGATCTCAACACCTCTCAACATAAGATTTTCTCAGGCTCAGCCAGACCTTCAAATGCTAATGAAGGTGGTCAGTTGAAACATTCACACCTAGCTCCAGCAGAGAAGAGTCCTTTGTCTCACCCTGGTCATTCCAGAGATATATAACCCTTTTTTCCTAGTTCCAACAGACCTCACTATCTCTGAGGATGCTTGCCATAGATGCAGGCGAAACGTCAGGAGAAATGCCTCTAGAACATGGCCATATAGCCCGAAAAACCTACAACAACCCACTCACATGTATTATTTCATAAGCTATTTTTTGGATTGGATCCCATTTTATCCAAGGCATAAAAATTCCTCTGACTCAACCAATGTAGATATACAGCACACACGATTGGAATGGGATTGTAGAGTGGGAGGTCAGAGAGAAATCCAAAGCAGAATATTTTGTCCGTGACGTTTCTCTTGATGGCCTCCACATATAATAATAATAATAATAATAATAATAATAATAATAATAATAATAATAATAATAATTTATTTATTTATTTATTTTATACCCTGCCACTATCTCCCCAAAGGGACTCGGGGCAGCTAACATGAGATCAAGCTCGAAGATACAATACAGCAAAATAAAATACAAAGCAACAAAAAATTACATCACAATAAAATACATAAAGTAACAAGATAAAATAAACGGTGCAAAATAACATAATAGAAAGAATAATAGAATCATTGAGTTGGAAGAGACCTTGTGGGCTATCCAGTGCAACCCCCCTCCAAGAAGCAGGAAAATCGCATTCAAAGCACTCCCGACAGATAGCCATCCAGCCTCTGTTTAAAAGCCTCCAAAGAAGGAGCCTCCACCATACTCTGAGTCAGAGAGTTCCACTGCTGAACAGTTCTCACAGTTCGGAAGTTCTTCTTCATGTTCAGCTGGAATCTCCTTTCCTGAAGTTTTAAGCCACTGTTCCATGTCCTAGTCTCCAGGGAAGATGAAAACAAGTCCCTATGACCGGGGCTGCCTCAAGAGCGCCCTCAGGGCATTTGCACTATATGCAAATGCGTAACCCGTCTATTGCTTCAGCCGCCCCTGCCCATGACTCCCCCTCACATATTTATACATGGCTATCATGCCTCCTCTCAGCCTTCTCTTCTGTAGGCTAAACATGGACAGCTCTTTAAGCCTCTCCTCATAGGGTTTGTTTTCCAGACCCTTGATCATTTTAGTTGCCCTCCTCTGGACACATTCCAGCTTGTCAACATCTCCCTTCAATTGTGGTGTCCAGAACTGGACACAGTATTCCAGATGTGGTCTAACCAAGTCAGAATAGAGGGGTAGCATGACTTCCCTGGATCAAGACACTAGACTCCTATTGATGCAGGCCAAAATCCCATTGGCTTTTTTTGCTACTGCATGACATTGTTGGCTCACGGCTCACAGATGTAGCTTTCAAATGTAGTATCTGAAACAATTAGCTCAAGGATATGCAAGGAAGATCTACAAAGTGTTATTGAAATCCTAGCAGTGTATTATAGTATATTTATATGTATCCTTCATCCTGGAAAGAAGTGTCAAGTGGAGTGCCGCAGGGTTCCGTCCTGGGCCCGGTCCTGTTCAATATCTTTATTAATGACTTAAATGAAGGGCTAGAAGGCAGGATCAAGTTTGCAGATGGAACCAAATTGGGAGGGATAGCCAATATTCCAGAGGACAGGAGCAGGATTCAAAACGACCTTGACAGATTAGAGAGATGATTGGCCAAAAACTAACAAAATGAAGTTCAACAGGGACAAATGCAAGATACTCCACTTAGGCAGAAAAAACGAAATGCAAAGATACAGAATGGGGGACGTCTGGCTCAAGAATAGGACGTTTGAAAATCTTGGAGTCCTCGTGGACAACAAGTTAAACATGAGCCAACAATGTGATGTGGCGGCAAAAAAAGCCAATGGGATTTTGGCCTGCATCAATAGGAGCCTAGTGTCTAGATCTAGGGAAATCATGCTCCCCATGCTCTATTCCGCTTTGGTTAGACCACACCTGGAATATTGTGTCCAATTCTGGGCACCACAATTCAAGAGAGATATTGACAAGCTGGAATGTGTCCAGAGGAGGGCGACTAAAATGATCAAGGTCTGGAGAACAAGCCCTATGAGGAGCGGCTTAAGGGGCTGGGCATGTTTAGCCTGAAGAAGAGAAGGCTGAGAGGAGATATGATAGCCATGTATAAATATGTGAGAGGAAGCCACAGGGAGGAGGGAGCAAGCTTGTTTTCTGCTTCCCTGGAGACTAGGACGCAGTGGAACAATGGCTTCAAACTACAAGAGAGGAGATTCCATCTGAGCATGAGGAAGAACTTCCTGACTGTGAGAGCCGTTCAGCAGTGGAACTCTCTGCCCGGAGTGTGGTGGAGGCTCCTTCTTTGGAAGCTTTTAAACAGAGGCTGGATGGCCATCTGTCAGGGGTGATTTGAATGCAATATTCCTGCTTCTTGGCAGAATGGTGTTGGACTGGATGGCCCATGAGGTCTCTTCCAACTCTTTGATTCTATGATTCTATGTTTGTGGAGATATTCTCCCTTGTTCCTCGCTTCATTGGAAGGATTTCTTCATCAGTGGAGAAAATGTTATCTGTTGAGTCTCTGGAGACGTTACTGTGGGCTTATTGGGTGGGTGTTCTCACTCACATCTTGATGCCTCTTCACCCGAGGAGGAGGCGTATAAGCCGAAGAAACTGAGTTATGGCTCAGCTGTTTGCTGCAGAAATCAATGAATGCAATCATGATCTGCTTTTTTCTCTCCTTCAGACGACAGCCCTCCTCCTCCGGCTCCCTTCGAGCATCGCATTGTGAGCATCAAGCAAACCGAGTTGACAGCCTCTTATGCAATATGCCAGCATGAAGTCTTGGGAGGGTAGGTTTAACTGTAGACGTTGTTTTTGTGCGTCTCTGCTCCCCAGCTCCCAGATCCAGACAATATCATATGCGGGTTTTGCCTATGTGTTTATCAAGCCTGTCCTAAGAGCACAAATATGGTACCACTTCCAGTCATAGAATCATGGAGTTGGAAGAGATCTCATCTAGTCCAACCCCATTCTGCCAAGAAGCAGGAATATTGCACTCAAATCACCCCTGACAGATGGCCATCCAGCCTCTGTTTCAAAGCCTCCAACGAAGGAGCCTCCACCACACTCCGGGGCAGAGAGTTCCACTGCTGAATGGCTCTCACAGTCAGGAAGTTCTTCCTAATGTTCAGATGGAATCTCCTTTCTTGTAGTTTAAAGCCATTGTTCTGTGACCTAGTCTCCAGGGCAGCAGAGAACAAGCTTGCTCCCTCCTAGAGGACGGTGACTAAAATGATCAAGGGTCTGGAGAACAAGCCCTATGAGGAGAGGCTTAAAAAGCTGGGCATGTTTAGCCTGCAGAAGAGAAGGCTGAGAGGAGACATGATAAGGGCCATGTATAAATATGTGAGGGGAAGTTATACGGAGGAAGGAGCGAACTTATTTTCTGTTGCCCTGGAGACTAGGACGCAATGGAGCAGTTGCTTCAAACTACAAGAAAGGAGATTCCACCTGAACGTTAGGAAGAACTTCCTGATTGTGAGAGCTGTTCAGCAGTGGAACTCTCTGCCCTGGAGTGTGGTGGAGGCTCCTTCTTTGGAGGCTTTGAAAAAGAGGCTGGATGGTCATCTGTCGGGGGTGCTTTGAATGCAATGTTCCTGCTTCATGGCAGGGGGGTGGACTGGATGGCCCATGAGGTCTCTTCCAACTCTATGATTCTATTCCTTCCTATGACTTCCCCTCACATATCTATCCATGTCCCTCATCATGTCTCATCTTGGCCTCCTCTTCTTCAGGCTAAACATGCCCAGCTCCTTAAGCCGCTCCTCATAGGGCTTGTTCTCCAGACCCTTGATCCTTTGAGTCGCCTTCCTCTGGACACATTCCAGCTTGTCAATATCTCTCTTGAATTGTGGTGCCCAGAATTGGACACAATATTCCAGGTGTGGTCTAACCAATGCAGAATGACTTCCCTAGATCTAGCAAGTTCACTTCCTAAGAGGGCTTTGGGAATGCACTGCTTAAGGGTCGCCGCCTTGGCATGTCCTGTTACGGAACCAAATGCAGACCAACGTTGAGCTGCCGTCCCATCGTGAAATGGAGGAATATCTAAATGAGGTGTAATATTTTAACGTAAGCAAGGAACAACTGGATGGAAAGATCATCCTTAATCCCCCCTTAAGCTGGGAGAAAGAGGAGCTCCTGGACTCCTGACCTCCCGATGCCGTTCGCTTTGTACCAGGTTATTTTTAATGGCCGATAAGAATAGTTGGTCTCTGGAGGCGTCTGCGGGGAGTTGCCCCCTAAGCCCTTTCCCCTCCGGCTTCGCTGACGCTCTGCTCTCCGTCTCTCCACAGCGGGCGCTTCGGTCAAGTGCACAAGTGCGACGAAAAGTCAACCGGGCTCTGCCTTGCGGCCAAAATCATCAAAGTGAAAGTGGCCAAAGAAAGGGTAACTCTATCCTTTTCAAAACTAAAGGGGCCACAGGTGGTGGGATCATACGGTGGACCAGAACCTCCGTCATAAACAGAGATGTGCCTAGAGAAGTTACTTGGTAGCTGGAAGATTATGGGATTTGTCGTCCAAATAGATAACTTTTCCAAGGGTTCAGATAGACACCCCACAATTCACCCATACTTTGTTATCATAGGATCATAAAATCAAAATTATAGAATTATAGAGTTGAAGGGACCAGAAGGACCATCCAGTCCAACCCCCTTCTTCCATGCAGGAACACAGAATCAAAGCATCCCTGACAGATGTCCATCCACTCTCTGCTCTTTCTTCATTTCCTTCCTCTTCATTTCCTTCCTTCCCTCCCACCTTTCTTCACCCCCTCCTTTCTTTCCTTCCTTCCTTCCTTCCTCCTTCCTTCCTTCTCCTTCCTTCCTCCCTCCCTCCCTGTCCCTCCTTCTTTTTTCCTTCCTTCCCTTCTTTCCTTCCCTCCCTTCCTTTTTCCTTCCTTCCTGTCCCTCCTTCCTTCTTCCTTTCCTTCTTTTCCTTCCTCCCTTCCTCCCCCCTTTCCTCCTTCTTTCCCTTTCTTCATTTCCTCCCCCTTCATTTCCTTCCCTCCCCCTTTCTTCATCCCCCTCCTTTCTTTCCCTCCTTCCTTCCTTCCTCCTCCCTCCCTCCCTTCCTGTCCCTCCTTCTTTCTTTTCCTTCTTTCTAAGATATAAATACAATATTAAATAGAAGGGACAGTCAAGAAGTAACGAGAGAAGGAGGGAAAAAGGGAAGGAAGGAGAGAAGCAGGGAGGGAAAGAAGGAAAGAAAGAAAGATAAAGAAGCAAGGAAGGAGAGAAGGAAATAAAAAAGTGAAAGGAAAAATAGATGGAAGGAAGGAAAGAAGGAACAAAAGATAGGGAAGAAAGGAAGGAAGGAAGGAAGGAAGGAAGGAAGGAAGGAAGGAAGGAAGGAAGGAAGGAAGGAAGGAAGGAAGGAAGGAAGGATGTAACCAAAGAGCAAAGAAAGATGAGAGATAAGAAGCAGGTAGAGATGGAAGAAAGATGAGAGATAGGGAAAGAAAAAGAGGAAAGGAAGGAAAGAGAGAAAGAGGGAGGAGAGGTTGGCCACAGCAATGCGTGGCAGGTACAGCTAGTTTATCATAATTTTTTGTTATTGTTTTCTTTTCCATGACCAATATATTGTCCCAAAATTCTTTCTTCTCGGTAAATCCATTTACACATTAGTCTCTCTAAAAACTTAACAATGGGTTATATGTCTTATCCTGACGTTACAGCTGTCATGTCTCATCTTTCAGGAGGAAGTGAAAAATGAGATCAATATTATGAATCAACTGAACCACGTCAATTTGATCCAGCTCTACGATGCTTTTGAGTCCAAGAACAACCTCACCTTAATCATGGAGTAGTAAGTCCTCTTTTGGGAAACGGTTGATGGGGGTTATGGGTCCAGACAAAGTTAGGAAGAGAAAGAAAAGGAAATAAAAAAATCTATCTCATTATTTTAGCATGAGCTTTCATGGTTATCAGTGCGCTTCTACAGTTGGGGTGAAAGTTGAAAAACCAGAAAAAGCACCTACTTTTTTTACCTGATATAATACTTCTGGGTGAATTTACTCAAAGTTCACCACTGAATCTTGCTACAGCAGCGTTTCTCAACCCGGGGGCCGGGACCCCTGGGGGGTTGCAAACGGGGTGACAGAGGGGTCGCCAAAGACCATCAGAAAGCACAGTATTTTCTCTTGGACATAGTTGTTCTGTATGGGAAGTCTGGCCCAATTCTATCCTTGGTGGGGTTCAGAATGCTCTTTGATTGTATGTGAACTATAAATCCCAGCAACTGCAACTCCCAAGTATCAAGGTCTGTTTTCCCCAAACTCCATCATTGTTCACATTTGGGCATATTGAGTATTTGTGCCAAGTTTGGTCGAGCTTTATCATTGTTTGAGTCCACAGTGCTCTCTGGATTTAGGTGAACTACAACTCCCAAACTCGAGCTCAATGGCCACCAAACCCTTCCAGTATTTTCTGCTGGACATGGGAGTTCTGTGTGCCAAGTTTGGTTCAATTCCATCATCGTTGGAGTTCAGAATGCTCTTTGATAGTAGGTGAACTATAAATCCCAGCAACTCCCAAGTGTCAAGGTCTGTTGTACCCCAAACTCCACCAGTGTTCACATTTGGGCGTATTGAGTATTCGTGCCAAGTTTGGTCGAGATTTATCATTGTTTGAGTACACAGTGCTCTCTGGATTTAGGTGAACTATAACTCCAAGACTCAAGGTCAATGCCCACCAAACCCTTCCAGTATTTTCTGTTGGTGATGGGAGTTCTTTGTGCCAAGTTTGGTTCAATTCCATCATTGGTGGAGTTCAGAATGCTGGGACCTATAGTTCACCTACAATCAAAGGGCATTCTGAACCCTACCAACGATTGAATTGGGCCAAACTTCCCACACAGAACCTCCATGACCAACAGAAAATACTGTGTTTTCTGGTGGTCTTTGGTGACCCCTCTGACACCCCCTCGCGACCCCCAGGTTGAGAAACACTGATCTAGAGAGTATATATTGATCAAATCCACAACAGGTTATTGTAGGTTTTTCGGGTTGTATGGCCATGTCCTAGAAGCATTCTCTCCTGACGTTTTGCCTGCATCTGTGGCAAGCATCCTCTCATTGAGTAACCTATGAATGATAACATTGCATCCATATACTTAATGTTTGTTGAATCTGCAATCTACATCAGTTGAGTTTGTCCTCAATGTTCTGTTTTGCCAGTGTGGATGGCGGTGAGTTGTTTGACCGGATCATAGACGAAAACTACAACCTGACTGAGCTGGATGCGATCCTCTTTACCAAACAAATATGTGAAGGGATCCACTACCTGCATCAACAATATATCCTTCATCTGGACCTGAAGGTGAGGGAGAGTTCATCTCACTGAAAGAAAAAGTAAAAATTAAATGTTGGTTGGGAAGGTGATGGGTACGGTTCTTCAAGGTCATGGGGAGGGTCAGTGTGGTGCCGCAAATCTTGGAAGCTTGCATCTTGGAAGCAGTGTGTTTGGATCATCCTCCTCTCCTAAAGGGCCTGGTTTAGGGGATACTGGGAACTGTAGTCCTAAAGAGAGTGTGGATATGCTTTTGTGTGCTTTGTTTACCGGGATGGGGGGGGGGGTCATTTTTGTGCATGTGCTGTAGCATCTTTTTCCTTTTTTGGGCTTTTAATCCCTTCTGTTGTGTTTTTATGAGTGATGGTCAGTTGGTCACCCCGTTGGCCTGGTATGTGCATTGTGTCCAAATTTCGTGTCAATTCATCCAATAGTTTTTGAGTTATGTTAATCCCACAAATGAACATTTCATTTTTATTTATATAGATGGCAAACCTGCTCTGAATAAATATTATCAGGAAAGTCCTGTGACCACACAAAGTTATTCTACATAATAAACAATAAATGGACCAATACATGGTCCTCTCGCTGATGAGCTCTGGGCGCTTGGAATATAGCATCCATTTTGTTCCTATATTATTATTTATTATTTATTTATGGTATTTATATTCTGCCCTTCTCACCCCAAAGGGGACACAGGCTGGATCATAATACACACAAACGCAGCAAATATTCAATATTTAGACATACAAGACAGAGGTATTTTGGTGTTTTCCAACTTCGGCGCTTGGAGGTTATGTTCGAATCCAGCCACAGGGGGGTGTTATCGCTTCATCCACTATGATGTCAAGTCATTTTGATTGTATTTCCTCCTTGTTCTTTGATCACTGGCATTTTTATGGTATCGTAAAATACCTCCTCGCTTTAAGCGGTACCTAATTTCTCTACTCACAACTCAGCTGTTTTCGAACTGCTTAGGTGGACAGTAAGCTAGGCTGAACAGTCGGGTGCTCAATCCTACTCAGACTTCTAACTTGCCATCTTCCAGTCGGCAGTGATCTATTGCTGCTGGAAATTAACCAGCTTTAAGCAGTACCTAATTTCTCTACTCACGGCTCAGCTGTTTTCAAACTGTTTTCAAACCAACTCGGGTGCTCAATCTTCCAGTCGGCAGTGATCTATTGCTGCTGGAGATTAACCAGCTTTAAGTGGTACCTAATTTCTCTACTCACAACTCAGCTGTTTTTGAACTGCTTAGGTGGACAGTTAGCTAGGCTTAACAGTCGGGTGCTCAATCTGACTTGGGTGCTCAATCTTCCAGTTGGCAGTGATCTATTATTGCTGGAGATTAACCAGCTTTAAGCGGTACCTAATTTCTCTACTCACAGCTCAGCTGTTTTCAAACTGCTTAGGTGGACAGTTAGCTAGGCTTAACAGTTGGGTGCTCAATCCAACTCAGACTTCGAACTTGCCATCTTCCAGTTGGCAGTGATCTATTGCTACTGGCGGTTAACCAGCTGTGCTACAGCCCAGTCCAATATTACCCTCTTAGTGAGCTTTCTTCATTGGAGTAGATTGGGCAGAGAGAGAGTTAATGGCCAATGGTCAAGGCCTGAACTAAAACTAAGAAGGGAATTGAACCCTTCGTTTTTATACCACCAAGTGAGCATCCCATTCTGAAAATATTGCAAATGTAGCTCTAAGCATGCTCTTTTCTTTTGCAGCCTGAGAACATACTATGTGTGAGTCACACGGGAAACCAGATTAAAATTATTGATTTTGGATTGGCACGGAGGTAAGCCTTGATCACTTCCACTCATTTTTTAAAAATGGATGCCTTGTCACTGTTTGCAACAGTTGGTTAAAATCCTCAGCTTGATGTGTATCCCATGCACCTGTTGGAGCATCATTTCATCATTCTGTCTTCCTCTCTCCCTTCTGGTAAAGGTATAAACCCCGTGACAAGCTCAAAGTGAACTTTGGCACTCCGGAGTTCCTGGCTCCTGAAGTGGTGAACTATGACTTTGTCTCATTCCCGACGGACATGTGGAGCGTTGGCGTCATAGCGTATATGCTGTGAGTAAACCTTTGGGGAAGAAGGGGGAGAGGTGTTGGGAATCGGCCTGTGTTTGTGTTTCAGGATCCTGATGTGGGAAATGATGTTGCCGAGGCTGAGGTACAAGATGGAAATGGTTTGGTCAATGATTTTCATGCAGACAATGACAGAGAGGCCTCAGTGCAAAGGGAAGTTTCTCATGAGAGTATTCCTGCTGGGCCTAGCAATGACTGTTCACTCCCTCTCTCTATGAGCTCTCAATATTTAGGTTTGGAAAACATCTGACACCTGAGCAGCCAGAGCCAGATAGGGAGCTGAAGTATAGACGGCTGGAGATTAGCCAGGATCGACAGCAAACTCAGTGTTTACGTCGCTCTGAAAGGCTTCGTCTGATAAGGGGTAAATGTGGGGGAAAGCAAAACCAATTTCTGAGTTTTGGGATATAAGGTTTGCCCCAAGGGGAAACCTGTTAGATCAGGCATCGTTTGGAAATCAAGTTCATGCGCCATGGAAATCCTGTTCAAGGGGGCTTGTTCGTGTGGAGCTTTTTAGCCTTTTGGATTGTCTTTGCATCTTGTTGATTCCTGTCTGGATAAATGCTGTCTTGGATTGCTTTTATATCTGGTGTGGTCATTGCTTTGTGTTACTACCTTTTATGGACTTATTACTTTTTGGAACTTTCTTATTTTCTTACAAGTCTTTATTTCTTCTGGCAATTTACTAAACTTCAATAAAAGATTTGTTTCTTCACTCTTCGTGTGGTGTGTTTCAAAGTCAGAGGGCTTTTTCCTGACCTGGAGTGCAACAAGAGGATTTAGTTGTGACAGCACCTGGTTCCTCCATTATACCACACTTGACCCATGGAAAGATGATGCAGTGGCGTTTATGCGAAGCACATGTGGGCGTGTCATGGGCATAACAAGAGGTCTTCTCTCCCTGTTTCAGGCTCAGTGGCTTGTCGCCTTTCCTCGGAGAAACAGATACAGAGACCATGAATTACATTGTCAACTGCAGTTGGGATTTTGATGCAGAAGCCTTTGAGCAAGTGTCCGATGAGGCCAAAGACTTTGTCTCCAGGCTCCTCATCAAGGAAAAAAGGTAAGGGGTGACATATTTGAAATAGGGTCACTTCTTAAATGGCAAATCCCAGGATTCTGTAGGCAGTTAAGGTGGAATACAGTGTGATCATTGAGTAGCATAGCTTTTGCTTCACTTGTAGCTTTGAGAAGATCTGAAGTTTCACAGATTTGCTTCCCTCCTTGTCTTCTCTGTCTTTGCAGTGGCAGAACAAGTGCAGCCAAGTGCCTCAAGCATGAGTGGCTGACAGATCTTCCTGCCAAAGCCAAGAAGTCCAAGGTCCGCTTAAAGTCTCAGCTGCTACTTCAGCGTTACATGGCTCAGCGCAAATGGAAGGTAAGCATCACACAGGCATTTTTGTTTTTTTTCTGAACACAATTCATGTTACCAATACCATTTATTGCTATCATACTTGACCAAAGAACCTAGGAAAAGTTAATCTTTGATCTGCAGGAGGACCATGATGGAGATGCTGGGAACTGTGGCCCATGTTGTGACTCAGCTGGAACCACAGACACAGACTGATAGTGTTGTGACTCCGATGGGGTCTCGGAGTGACTCTGACGAGGATGATGGGATTCAGGTTCCCCATCAGGTTCAAAATCTTCCTGTTGTAGACAGTGAGGAACAGGGTGTGCAAGTTCAGGTGCAGATTGACTCAGAAAAGGAGGACAGTTCTCAGCCTGATAGTGGGTAGGAAGGCAACCAGGCTGACACTAATGAGCAGCCTGACCTTGAGGAAACGGAAATCTTAGATCGGGCTGACCGTTTGGAATTCAGAGTTCGAAGGAGTGTGAGAATAGCCAACAAGAAGGAGGTCAGAGACCAAAAAAATGCTTTCATGCATTGCAAAGGGTATTAAGCAATGTGTTTGAAAACAAACCTTTGTCAGAGCAACTTCTTGCTCAACCAAGCAGCTTGTACTCGTTTTCCTGTGTCCATGGAATTTTGGGATTTTGTCATGTTCTCATGGGACTTTGTTTCGTTGGTGCCATTTGGAATTCTGCTTTACAGTGCGATGTTTTATTGATCTTTGGAACACTATCTGCTTTTTAAACTTTTAAACTTTCCATCTTTTACTTTTTAATAAACTACAAAGACTTCAGTCTGTGTGCAGTTCTGGTGATTTCAGCAAGGTGAATCTATTCTGAGGTGCAACACCCCAAGAGCATAATTTCAAATTCAAATGCAATAGTAATCAAAATGCAAAATTTGCATTTGAACAATGTAGGGCAGGAATTGATAGAATCTACTAGTAGATTTCCAAGGATCTAAATACCAGAGCTGTGCAAAGCTTTGGAGGTCTGTTTCATAATTTGGAGATTTCTATGATTCTTTAATACAAATCTCCAAATTACTAATCCCAACAGGACAACTCTGAAGCATTACAAAATGAACTGGAAGCCTACAAAACATTTTGGGGAGATTAGCAAGGATTTGTTGTTACGAAGCACTTCAACCAGTGGTTTTTTCAATGTAACATGCTCCAAATCAGCTGCATGCTCGTTTTTTTCTTGTCAGCCAATCACATGGCTTATTGCAAAGCTGGTCTCCTCCTCTCCATGTCTGTATATGTTGTATGTCAGCCTGTTCAGCTTGTGATTGTGTCTAATGATCAAGGTACTCTGGATGATGGGCGTGACAATGAGGTTCATGTGTATAATGATCGGGTTACCGTGGATTCAGGGAATGACAGTGTGGTTCATGGGTCCAATGATCTGGTTGCTGTGGATGCATGGAATGACAATGTGGTTCATGTGATTCTTCTGATGGGAATGTTCCTGGAGGAATGGGGATGATGGTTTGTTCCCTGAGCCTGTATTGCTACAAGAGGATTCTTGAGGCCTTGAGCCTGGGAAAGGCTCGGCACCTGATCCAGGTGCAGAAGTTAATGAGCCCTTGAACAGAAGAAGTGTTTTTAGTCAGCAAAGACAAACAAATCAGGCTCTCAGGCACTCAGCCAGGTTGCAGCAGAGGCTAACAGGGAACCCAAGGCTGAGAAAAATTCTTTCTTGGCTGCTTGGGAAATACAGTAGAGAATCTGTTGCCAGATGAAGCATTGTTGGATTTAGGTCAAGTTCTCTTCCCAAGTTCCTGGACGTTTTGCTTTGGATTCATTCATGTTTAAGTGCCTTGTTATTCGTATTTAAGTGCCTTGATTGATTCACGTTCAAGTGCCTTAGTGTTTATTGCCTTGGAAGTTCCAGTATCTATTTTTATGGACTCTTTTGGACTATTCTCCTGGATTATCTGTTCCTGTCTACTTATCTACCTACCTAATTGGATGTACCTTTTACTGTAGATTACTTTTTATTGCTATAGCTTTTATTATCTTCAATAAACTGCTTGCTATTTTAACTCAGCTGTTTGAAGCCAGAGGGAATCCTATCCTGGAGTGCAACAGTATTTTTTTGGTGTTAGTAGGAGAATTTTTTGTTAATATCTAAAAATCAGTAGATGAACGAATATTTTTGAGACTTTGCAGGACTGATGCCCTGCTTATACTGTCTCACTGTGCAGAAACTGATGTGGATACCTCTTGTAATGTTTTAAAAATTGTATTTAATTAGTGGATGACCGAAATGTACTGAAACTTGGAAGGCTTAAAGTAGTAAATGTTGCCTAATGCTTACAAGTTGCCAAGTTTAATCCCGATAGCCATAAAATTATCAGAGAAACGAGCCTCAATTTTTCCCCATTGCCACTAATAGAACATATCTTAACAAAACAATTACGAAGCTTCAGAGATTTGGATTATGAAATGAAATGGGGCCCCCTCTGAATCGTAACGAAATGAAGCAGGGGGCCATCTGAATCTCCGAAAGAAAGGACTGAGGTGGGACGTAGAAGGAGATACATTCGGACAGGTACTCTAACATTAGAATCATAGAATCAAAGAGTTGGAAGAGACCTCATGGGCCATCCAGTCCAACCCCATTCTGCCAAGAAGCAGGAATATTGCATTCAAATCACCCCTGACAGATGGACATCCAGCCTCTGTTTAAAAGCTTCCAAAGAAGGAGCCTCCACCACACTCCGGTGCAGAGAGTTCCACTGCTGAATGGCTCTCACAGTCAGGAAGTTCTTCCTCATGTTCAGATGGAATCTCCTCTCTTGTAGTTTGAAGCCATTGTTCCGCGTCCTAGTCTCCATGGAAGCAGAAAACAAGCTTGCTCCCTCCTCCCTGTGGCTTCCTCTCACATATTTATACATGGCTATCATATCCTCCTCTCAGCCTTCTCTTCTTCAGGCTAAACATGCCCAGCTCCTTAAGCCGCTCCTCATAGGGCTTGTTCTCCAGACCCTTGATCATTTTAGTCGCCCTCCTCTGGACACATTCCAGCTTGTCAATATCTCATTTGAATTTTGGTGCCCAGAATTGGACACAATATTCCAGGTGTGGTCTAACCAGAGCAGAATAGAGCATGGGGAGCATGACTTCCCTAGATCTAGACACTATGCTCCTATTGATGCAGACCAAAATCCCATTGGCTTTTTTTGCCGCCACATCACATTGTTGGCTCATGTTTAACTTGTTGTCCACTAGGACTACAAGATCTTTTTCACATGTACTGCTCTCAAGCCAGGCATTGTCCCCCATTCTGTCTCTTTGCATTTCGTTTTTTCTGCCTAAGTGGAGTATTTTGCATTTGTCCCTGTTGAACTTCATTTTGTTAGTTTTGGCCCATTCATCTCTCTAATCTGTCAAGATCGTTTTGAATCCTGCTCCTGTCCTCTGGAGTATTGGCTCCCTCCCAATTTGGTGTCGTCTGCAAACTTGATGATCCTGCCTTCTAGCCCTTCATCTAAGTCATTAATAAAGATGTTGAACAGGACCTAATACTAATATACTAATATGATTTCAGCTGCTTCATACACCTCTACTAAATACTCTAAATGTACAAAGTCCTGTGTGATTTTGGAAACTAAGCAGAGCCAGCCTTGGTTAGTACTTGGATGGAAGACCAATGAATATCAGGTGCTGTAGGTTCTAAAGCAGTGGTTCTCAACCTGTGGGTACCCAGATGTTTTGGTCCTAACAGTTGGTAAACTGGCTGGGATTTCTGGGAGTTGTAGTCCATCTACATCTGGGGATCCCAGGTTGAGAACCACTGTTATAGTGGAAGGAACAAGCAAGCCCACCTTTGAGTATTCCTTGCCTAAGAAAATCCTATGAAATTCATTTTAAAAGCATCTGAAAAAGTAAGATAATCAAATAATTAATCTGGACTGTCTCTTCCAAACTGGGACTACTGCAGTGTACGTGCATCTCATCTATATAAATAAAAATGTAATGTTCGTTTGAGGGATTAACATAATTCAAAAACCACTGGATGAATTGCTGCCAAATTTGGCCATAAGACACTTACTAACCCAAGGAGTGACCATCACTAAAAAAAAATGATTTTGTCATTTGGGAGTTGTAGTTGCTGGGATTTATAGTTCACCTACAATCAAAGAGTATTCTGAACTCCACCAATGATGGAATTGAACCAAACATGGCACACAGGAGTCCCATTACCAACAGAAAACACTAGAAGGCTTTGGTGGGCATTGAAATTAAGTTTGGGAGTTGTAGTTCACCTACATCCAGAGAGCACTGTGGACTCAAAACAATTATGGATTTGGACCAAACTTGGCAGGAATACTCAATACTGTATACACAAATGTGAACACTGCTGGAGTTTGGAGAAAATAGATCTTGATGTTTGGGAGTTTTAGTTGCTAGGATTTATAGTTTACCTACAATCAAAGAGCATTTTGAACTCCACCAATAATGGAATTGAACCAAACATGGCACACAAGACTCCCATGACAAACAGAAAACACTAGTCTAGAAGGGTTTGGAGGGCATTGATCTTGAGTTTTGGAGTTGTAGTTCATCTACATCCAGAGAGCCCTGTGGACTCAAACAATGATGGATCTGGACCAAACTTGGCACAAATATTCCATATGTCCAAATATGGAGACAGATGGCGTTTGGGGGAAATAGACCTTGACATTTGAGAGTTGTAGTTACTGGGATTTATAGTTCACCTACAATCAAAGAGCATTCTGAACCCCACTAACGATAATTGGGGCAAACTTCCCACACAGAACCCCCATGAGCAACAGAAAATACTTAAGGCCATCCAGTCCAACTCTCTTCACCAGGGCAAGAAAATGTAAACAAAGCCCTCCTGACAAAGAACCATCCAGCCATAGATATAGATAGATATGATTCACACAGAGAGATATAGTATCATAGATTTGAAAGGGACCCCTAAAGAAGGACGATGATATGTTGTATGTTCCAGAGTAGGCAAACCAGACACTCTCCACATCAACACTGACAAAGAAACAACAAGAAATACTGTTTACCCACCAGACATTACATATATTAGAAATCAACACTTTCTCATTGCTTTATTTTCTAGATCACCAGACTGGGCCACAGCAATGCGTGGCAGGGGACGGCTAGTAAATCTATATAAATAAAAATGTAATGTTAGTTTTTGGGATTAACATAACTCAAAAACTACTGGACGAATTGACACCAAATTTGGACACAGGACACCTAACAGCTGAACGAGTGTCCATCACCCCTAAAAACACACACACACAAAACCCCAGCGGAACAGACTTAAAACCCCCAAATATACACCATATATTCATATACAAGTACACTCATATGCACATGCACACATTCATACACACACAGTATATATATGCACAAACACACAAATATATATACACACACACATACGTACAGACATATATGCATATATGCACACATATACATATGCACACACATATACACATACATACACACACATATACACACAAATATGCATATGGCAAGCACACACCATATAGACAAGCACACATATATACACAATATGCATGTACACATATAAACACACAAATACACAAATATATACACACATATATTATACACACAAATCTATACACCCATTTATATGCAAACATAGATAAACATATACACAAATATACACGCACACATATACACACTCACAAAACACATATAACAGACTGGGCCATAGCAACGCGTGGCAGGGGATGGCTAGTAATAATAATAAATATCGCTCATATTTGAATACTAGGTTGTTGTAGGTTTTTTCGGGCTATATGGCCATGTTCTAGAGGCATTCTCTCCTGACGATTCGCCTGCATCTATGGCACAACCTCTGAGGGTGCTTGCCATAGATGCAGGTGAAACGTCAGGAGAGAATGCCTCTAGACCATGGCCATACAGCCCGAAAAAACCTACAACAACCCAGTGATTCTGGCCATGAAAGCCTTCGACAATACAAGAAATACTGTTTACCCACAAGCAGAAAGAAATTACATATATTAGAATCCAACACTTTCTTATTTGTATTGTCGAAGGCTTTCATGGCCGGAATCCATGGGTTGTTGTAGGTTTTTCCGGGCTATATGGCCATGTTCTGGAGGCAATTTTTCTCCTGACGTTTCGCCTGCATCTATGGCAAGCATCCTCAGAGGTATTGAGGTCTGTATTACCTCTGAAGATGCTTGCCATAGATGCAGGCGAAACGTCAGGAGAAAAATTGCCTCCAGAACATGGCCATATAGCCCGGAAAAACCTACAACAACCCACTTTCTCATTACTTTATTTTTCAGATCGCCAGACTGGGCCACAGCAACGCATGGCAGGGGATGGCTAGTAGAGTAATATTGTGTTTCTGTTTTCTTTACAGAAACATTTCTACGTAGTAGCTGCTGCCAACAGGTTGAGAAGGTTCCCCAGCCTGTCTGAGAGTCCAGAGTAACCGGCTGTCAATCAGCGAAACACGGAAAGACTTGAAGATTGTAGCGACCAGCTCAACTCCGCACCTACTTGGCCATTGGATTTCTTTTCCTAATGTCCGTTACCTACGTAGCCACAAAGCGTGTTCCAGTTTCAGTCTCCAAGACAAGTAGGATCCAGTGGTTTGTAGCCGAAGAAAAGTGGTTGCCTTCTTTGACAAGTTTCCACAAGAAGATAGGAATGGAAAAGACTTAAATCTGAAGTCTCTTCTTTCTTCAATTAGACACACTTTTTGGTGCCTCTAATGTTAGCCCCGTTTCTGGGTCTGTTTTGACTTGCTGATTCCAAAAATGGCAGCAGTTTTCCCCCATCAGCCATATAGCAGTCACTTATACAGAATCATGCTAACCATATCTAACAAAATAGAGCTGTTTATCCAACGCAATGCCCAAACAACCTGAGGAACAGGTCCAAAAAACAAGGCATCAAGAATATTTTTAAATGTACAGTAGAGTCTCGTTTATCCAGCATAAACGGGCCGGCAGAATGTTGGATAAGCAAAAATTCATAATAATAATAATAATCTGGCACAAACCAGTCAAGGTGGTCCCAGTGGTGATCGGCACACTGGGTGCAGTTCCTAAAGACCTTGGCCTGCTCTTAAACACAATCGGCGCTGACAAAATTCCCATCTGCCAGCTGCAAAAGGCCATCTTACTGGGATCTGCACGCATTATTCTCCGATACATCGCACAGTCCTAGACACTTGGGAAGTGTCCGACGTGTGATCCATGTCAGAGTTTGGAGGTGCGCAGCAGAAGGATTGCTAGATCAGCAGATACTGTGTTGTACAATAAGGACTCTGCAGGCTTTCAGTTGCAAAAGAATCTAAGTTTTACTAAGCACATTCAAAAGACACGTCTTACTACAGCGAGCTACAATCAGGAACTAGTCAAAACGAAAGTCTCTTCACATTTGCTTATCTCTCTTCTCTCTAGCTGAGACTAGCTACTCCCTTCTGTTCCCAGACAGAGCAAACATTATCTCACTTCTCTCAAGGTTACATAATCACAGCCTCATGGAATAAACATTCTGCACAGCATTTCTAATACACAGTAGAATCCATCTTGGAAATACATAGAAGTACATTTAAAACACACATATATCTAAATTAATCCTGACAATCCAATACAACAGCCAGCAGAGTGTCTGCTGTGGACTCATCTTGTTGTGTTTCTAATAATAATAATAATAATAATAATAATATATTGTGGAAGGCTTTCATGGTAGTTATAATAATAATAATAATGAACTGCAAAGACTCTGGCACAAGCCAGTCAAGGTGGTCCCAGTGGTGATCGGCACACTGGGTGCAGTGCCTAAAGACCTTGGCCTGCACTTAAACACAATCGGCGCTGACAAAATTACCATCAGCCAGCTGCAAGGCCACCTTACTGGGATCTGCACGCATTATTCGCCGATACATCACACAGTCCTAGACACTTGGGAAGTGTCCGACGTGTGATCCAATTCAACAGCCAGCAGAGTGTCTGCTGTGGACTCATCTTGTTGTGTTTCTAATTATTATTATTATTATTATTGGATTTAAAGATCGAACTCCAAAGACTGTGGCACAAGCCAGTCAAAGTGGTCCCAGTGGTGATCGGCATACTGGGTGCAGTGCCTAAAGACCTTGGCATGCACTTAAACACAACTGACGCTCACAAAATTACCATCTGCCAGCTGCAGAAGGCCACCTTATAGGGATCTGCACGCATCATTTGCCGATATTTATTTATTTATTTACAGTATTTATAATCCACCCTTCTCACCCCGCAAGGGACTCAGAGTAGATTACAATGTACATATACATGGCAAACATTCAATGCCATAGACACACAACAAATATAGATAGACACAGAGGCAATTTAACTATCATGAAGGTATTCTGGCCACCAGGGTAGCTGTTGCTTCACCGTCCATTTGTGACACTGATGAAATATTTCCTCATTCTTTGCAAGCTTGCTGGAAATTTTTATGGCATCATAAATTAGTTGTTAGCCTCCCCGCGTAGGCGGTATCTAAATTTCCTACTTGAGAGATGCAACTGTCTTTCGGGCTGCGAAGGTCGACAGCAAGCTACACAAATTGGTTGGACACTCACTCCGACCTGGGCTGGTTTCGAACTCATGACCTTTTGGTCAGTAGTCACCTTAATGCAGCTGACTCCCAGCCAGCTGCGCCATAGTCCTGATACATCACACAGTCCATTCAATGCCATAGACACACAACATATATAGACAGACACAGATGCAATTTAACTTTGCATGAGGGTTTTCTGGCCACCAGGGGAGCTGTTGCTTCACCGTCCATTTGTGACACTGATCAAGTACTTCCTCATTCTTTGCAGGCTTGCTGGAGATTTTTATGGCATCGTAAATTAGTTAAATTAGCCTCCCCGCGTAGGTGGTATCTAAATTTCCTATTTGAGAGATGCAACTGTCCTTCGGGCTGCAAAGGTCGACAGCAAGCTACACAAATTGGTCGGACACTCACTCCGACCCGGGCTGGTTTCGAACTCATGACCTTTGGGTCAGTAGTGACCTTAATGCAGCTGACTCCCAGCCAGCTGCGCCACAGTCCCGATACATCACACAGTCCTAGACACTTGGGAAGTGTCCGACGTGTGATCCAACACAACAGCCAGCAGAGTGATCTTGTCTATTTTATTTACATTTATTTACAGCTTTTATATTCCGCTCTTCTCACCCCGCAGGGGACTCAGGGCGGATTACAGTGTACACATATATGGCAAACATTCAATGCCAAATTTTGACATACAAACATATACAGACATACACAGAGGCTATTTAACGTTTTTCTGGCCGCCAAGGGAGCTGTCGCTTTCATCGTCCATCTGCGACCCTGATGAAGCCCTTCCGCATTCCCCGCATGCTTCCCCGCTGGAATGCTTTGCTGGAGTCTTCTTTATGGCCTCATAAATCAGTTAATTTAGCCTTTCCACACTTTAAGGTGGTACCTTATTTTCCTACTTGACAGATGCAACTGTCTTTCGGGTTGTAAAGGTCGACAACAGGCTACACAATTGGTTGGAAACCCACTCCAACCCGGGCTGGCTTCGAACTCATGACCTTTTGGTCAGAGTGATCTTAATGCAGTTGACACTCAGCCAGCTGCACCACAATCCCAGTTACTGTATCTACAAATTTAGTACCAAAACATTGCAATGTATTGAAACAGTTGTGGATCCGGACGGGAGGCAGACTGCGTTGGATAATACAGAACGTTGGATGAGCGAAGGTTGGATAAGCGAGACTCTACTGTATTAAAATGTTAGCAATCAATCATGATCTCTTTTCAGACCAATCTTTTAAACATGAGCTGGAGTTCAATGTGGCAGTTATGTATGTATGACCGAGAGTTGCTCGTTCGCGATTGTTTCATATTGAACCTATTTGTTTGGGGAATATTTACTGGGCAGAAGCCATTGTGAGAGACACAGTTCTAGTCCCATGAAGCAGGATGCAACGGACTGATATTCCCATCTTCCTTCCTTTGAGCAGTCATCAGTGTGATAATGGCTTTCAGCGGTGATCCCTTTTTTGCCTCTTTCAATAGTGATCACTCGTCAAAAACTGGACAAACATCAGCCAGATGCTTCCAGATATATTGACGTAGGAACAGATTTCAATTGCTTGCAGTGGCTGCTGCATAGTCGATACAGATTTAGACTGGGTGGACTGGGGGGACACTGGTGAAGTAGCTAGGTATGTGATACAAAATTAGTAAAGGTTTCCCTTGACATTAAGGATAGTGGTGTCCGACTCTGGAGGGTGGTACTCATCTCCATTTCTAGGCCGAAGAGCCGGCGTTGTCCGTAGACACCTCCAAGATCATGTAGCCGGCATGACTACCATCACCTTCCCGCAGAAGCGGTACCTATTGATCTACTCATGTTTGTATGCTTTCGAACTGCTAGGTAGGCAGAAGCTGGGGCTAACAGCGGGAGCTCACCCCACTCCCCGGATTCGAACCGCCAACCTTTCGGTCAGCAAGTTCAGCAGTGCAGCGGTTTAACTTGCTGCACCACCAGGGGACCTAATACCAAAAAACAGCTATAATATTTCAGGTCTAAGAACTTCAGGGGATGGATAGATGGAGATCTCAATGTACCGTATTTTTCTCTGCCGTCGCCGCACTGACAGCCAAGGTGGGCATAGCATGGAAGAGCCCCTCGGTGAGGCTGAAGCCCATCAGCGGGAGACAAGCGGCGCTAGAGGAGCTGCTTTGGGCACCCTGCTCCAGCGCAGAGCAGCTGCCCATCTCCATCACGTATTAGGAGCCTCCATCTTGCATTGGATCCAAAATAAGAAGTTATAATACAATTCATACAAATTACAGCAAAAATCAGTTCGTCCAAAAGAATCACAAATTCATCGCCATCCGCCAGAAAGGTCAGCAATTAATGACTCCGTCATCACTCTGCAAATGCAGTATCCCAAAACCATGTCTTTACCAGCTTTCTAAACGTCAGGAGGGAAGAGGCAGATTTAATCGCCATCGGGAGGGCCCTGTCCGAGAGGCCGCCACCGAGAAGGCCCTGTCCCTCGTCCCCACCAAATGCGATTGCGAAGGCGGTGGGACTGAGAGCTGGGCCCCTCCAGAAGATCTTAACAACCTTGATGGTTCATAGGGGAGAATCCGTTCGGACAGGTAAATAGAGCCAGAGCCATTTAGAAAAGGAGGCTTTGGGGCATGAAGGGGCTGGCAAGAGGGGTAGACTAATAGGATGAGTATATCCAAAAATTGAAAATTTAAATTGAAAAGTTTGGTGGGGGGGGGGTCGTCTTGTATGCCCAATCAGCTAGTACACCGGAAAATACGGTAGCATTACAAAGTGGCTGCGCAGAATAATTTTTTGCTCTGAATGTAGGTAACTTATGGTGCATCGACTGTAGAATTAATTAATGCTGTTAGTTTTACAAAACGAGCACAGCCTCCTAATCTCTCAATAGTTTAGGATGGGGAAACCTTGAACTATATCAATACGGAAACCCCGGGAAGGGAGACGCAACCCTTCCGATGTCGATTCACCCGTAAATGAAATAAGCGAGGCAAACAAATGGAAATAAAATAAAATATATATTTATTTGGTTTTTGAGAGGATTTCACAGTTTTGTCTTAATAACAAGAGAAAAAAATACTTTTGCAACAAAACCAACCATGAAATGGGTGGGAAAAGTAAATATGTTACAACTGCAAATCCCACTCTGAACAGGGCTGATGGGAGTCGCAGTCCAGCATCAGAAAAAGTCGCATCCTTGATTTAAAATGACACAAGGGTGGAAAATAAATACATCACAGCCTCCTTTGAGGCACCCAAGGAAGCCTCCAGAGAACAGATACGAGAGGGAAATTGGTAGTATGGAAAATTCTATTGAGAAAGGGAGGTTAGGATTCATTCCGCGGTAAAATATTCCATTTTCAGTGTGCATTGCACAGAATTTGACACAACAACAACAATGCCTTGGGTTCTGGCTTCAGGATCCAATCTATGGTGCCGTAGTTCTGTCGCCACAAAACGAAATTGAAGAGGCAAAAGATGAGAACGACTGTCCAGCTCAGCCTAAGTAACTTCTCGACCTTGATGACAACTTAAGTAACTTCTCCAGGCAATTTTGGACATTTGACCCTCATGCTGAAGACTGATCAATGGTCAAGGCTGGTCTTTGCACCCAGCACAAGACTACTAATTTCTATCATCCAGACCAGGTTAAGCGGCTGAGGGGGAAAAAGAAGGGGCCTGCGGCCAGGAATTGTGGGAGTTGAAGTCCAAAACACCCGGAGGGGCCAAGTTTGCCCATACCTGATCCAGACTATTTCTACCATAACTAAGCATTAATGCACTCAAATCATACATGCTCTTCCTGTGATTTTGCAGCATTTTCTAGAATTCGCCTTTTCCATGCTTCGTAGTCTTCCGTTGCTTCTGTGTCCTGTTTTGGACGCTTACGAGGAGCCATTACGTCTGTCTCTGGTGCTATATGTGAGAAAACAAAAAAGACAAGGCACTGAGAATGCAAGCTTAGTGAACACAGAAATGCCATAAGGATGTCTAGAAGGCAACAGTTCAGAACCAATAATAATAATAATAATAATAATAATAATAATAATAATAATGCAATGACTATGGCACAAACCAGTCAAGGTGGTTCCAGTGGTGATCGGCACACTGGGTGCAGTGCCTCAAGACCTTGGCCTGCACTTAAACACAATCGGCGCTGACAAGATTACCATCTGCCACCTTACTGGGATCTGCACGCATTATTCGCCGCTACATCACACAGCCCTAGACACTTGGGAAGTGTCTGACGTGTGATCCAATACAACAGCCAGCAGAGTGATCTTGTGATCTTGTTTGCTGTGGACTCATCTTGTTGTGTTTCAAATAATAATAATAATAATAATAATAATAATAATAATAATAATAACTATATAAATAAAAATGTAATGTTCGTTTGTGGGATTAACAGAACTCAATAATAATAATAATAATAATAATAATCTATATAAATAAAAATGTAATATCGTTTGTGGGATTAACATAACTCAAAAACCACTGGATGAATTGACACGAAATTTCGACACAAGACACCTAACAGTCCAACGAGTGTCCATCACCCCTAAAAGCACACACATATACAAATACACTCATATACATATGCGCACATTCATACACACACACACACATGTATATATATATGCACCAACACAGAAATATATACATACACACATACATATACATACACACATATATACATATACACACATGCTCACATACTCATACATGCACACATATACATATACATACACACAAATATGCATATGGCAAGCACATAGACAAGCACACACACATACACAATATGCATGTACACATATAAACACAGAAATACACAAATATATACTCACACACATATATATACACAAATATATACTCACACACATATATATACACAAACATATACTCACACACACATATATACACATCTATACACTCATATATATATATGCCCAAGTGTGAACACTGGTGGTTTGGGGGAAATAGACTTTCACATTTGGGAGTTGTAGTTGCTGGGATTTATAGTTTACCTACCATCCAAGAGTATTCTGATTCCCACCAATGATAGAATTGGGCTAAACTTCCTACACAGTGTTGCTGTGGCCCGGTCTGTGTATATGTGTTTTGTGTGTGTATATATTTGTGTATATGTGTATGTTTGCGAATATATATATATTTAGCCCAATTCTATCATTGTTGGGCATCAGAATGCTCTTGGATGGTAGGTGAACTATAAATCCCAGCAACTACAACTCCCAAATGTCAAGGTCTACTTTCCCTAAACTTTACCAGTGTTCACATTGGGGCATATTGAGTATTTGTGCCAAGTTAGGTCCAGATCTATCATTGTTTGTGTCCAAAGTGCTCTCTGGATGTAGGTGAACTACAACAAAGTGCTCTCTGGATGTAGGTGAACTACAACTCCAAAACTCAAGGTCAATGCCCACCAAACCCTTCCAGTATTTTCTCTTGGTCATGGGAGTTCTGTGTGCCAAGTTTGGCTTAATTCCATTGTTGGTGGAGTTCAGAATGCTCTTTGGTTGCAGGTGAACTATACATCCCAGCAACTATAACTCCCAAAAGACAAAATCAATTCCCCGCCCAACCCCATCAGTATTTAAATTTGGGCGTATTGGATATTTGTGCCAAATTGTTCCAGTGAATGAAAATACATCCTGCATATCAGATATTTACATTACGATTCATAAGAGGAGGAAAATTAGTTATGAAGGAGCACCAAAAATAATGTTATGGTTGGGGGTCACCACAACATATGGAACTGGTTTAAGGGGTCGCGGCATTAGGAAGGTTGAAAAACACTGCTCTAGATGTTATTAAACTGCAACTCCCATCACAGCCAATGGGTGAAGAACGATGGCATCTGTGCATTATAATTTAGTGCCATTGGGACACAAAGGAAGATCCAGATTGTTGCTGTTGTTGTTGAAGAACTGGAAGTTGTTGATCTAAAGTCTAATAGCATCATAGGTAATTAATAATGTCAGGAATTGTAGTCCAACGCCACTTCTTTCCCCCATTGCGGACGTATTTTTTCTATGCACAGGCAAGCTGAGCAAGGCTTATCTGGCAAAACTCGGGCCACTTTCCAAGGTGTGTCTGTTGTGAGTCAACCACAACACAGTTCTATTCGACAGTACAGTAAATAAGACATTGGAAGCAACACCAACCTTTTCCAAGGCGGTCAAGGAAGGTCTTCTGGGTTTTGGGAGCCTCCGCCATCGACTGGTCGCTCTCTCCTTTGAAACAAAACAAAACACTTCTTTCAAGAATCGTGTAAAGTTGGGCTTTTTGAGAAGGGCGACATGTATATGTCACTTTAGGTCTGCTTTCATGATACACAATGCAAAGTTACAGTAAAAACTTGTCACATATTAATTTGTTTAGCAGGGCAAACAAACAAACAAACAAACAAGCTTCAAACCTATAGGGCAGTGTTTCTCGACCTTCCTAATGATGCAACCTCTTTAATATTTATAATTTACTAGCCGTCCCCTGCCATGCGTTGCTGTGGCCCACATGGGGGTTCTGTGTGGGAGGTTTGGCCCAATTCTATTGTTGATGGGGTTCAGAATGCTCTGTGATTGTCGGTGAACTACAAATCCCAGCAACTACAAATCCCAAATGTCAAGATTCTATTTTCCCCAAACTCCACCAGTGTTCACATTTGGGCATATTGAGTATTCGTGTAGAGTTTGGTCCAGATCCATCATTGTTTGAGTCCACAGTCATCTTTGGATGTAGGTGAACTACAACTCCAAAACCAAAGGACACTGCCCATCAAACCCTTCCAGTATTTTCTGCTGATCATGGGAGAACTGTGTGCCAAGTTTTGTTCAATTCCATTGTTGGTGGGGTTAAGAGTGGTCTTTGATTGTAAGTGTACTATAAATCCCAGCAACTACAACTCCCAAATGACAAAAACAATTTTTTGAGTGAAGGACATACATTGGGTTGTTAGGTGTCTTGTGTCTAAATTTGGTGTCAATTCGTCCAGTGGTTTTTGAGTTCTGTTAATCCCACAAATGAACATTACATTTTTATTTATATAGACTTATTTACGACATTTATATGCTGCCCTTCTCACCCCGAAGGGGACTCAGAGCGGCTTACTCTCTCTCTCTTTCTATATATATATATACACACACTCACACACACACAAAAAATATATTATATTATTAGCATAGCACAATATCAGTATTAAATGTTATTATATTGCACTATACTATTATATTGTAATATTACTAATATTACATGTAATATAAAATATATAACTATATCATATTATTATTATTAATATTGTATTACATGATATTATAAATATATGTATAATACATACAATATATTATATTATTAGCATAGTACAATATCAGTATTAAACATTACTATATTGTATTATACCATTATATTGTAATATTATTAGTAATATTACATGTAATGTAAATATATAATTATATTATCATATTATTATTTTAGTATTATATTGCATTACAATATAATATTAAACATACAATGGCCCCTAACCATAACATTATTTTCGTTGCTACTTCCTAACTGTAATTTTGCTACTATTATGAGTCTTAATGTAAATATCTGATATGCAGGACGCATTTTCATTCATTGGACCAAATTTGGCACAAATACCTCATATGCCCAAATTTGAATACTGGTGGGGTTGGTGGGGGATTGATTTTGTCATTTGGGAGTTGTAGTTGCAGGGATTTGTAGTTCACCTAAAATCAAAGAGCATTCCGAACTCCACCAACAATGGAATTTAGCCACACTTGGCACAGAGGACTCCCATTGCCAACAGAAAATACCAGAAGGGTTTGGTGAGCATTGACCTTGAGTTTGGGAGTTGTAGTTCACCTACATCCAGAGAACACTGTGGACTCAAACAATGATGGAGCTTGACACGAATACTCAGTATGCCCGTATGTGAAGACTGGTTGAGTTTGGGGGAAAAGACCTTGACATTTGGGAGTTGTAGTTGCTGGGATTTATAGTTCACCTACAATCGAAGAGCATTCCGACACCTGCCTTGAAGGGACTTACTGGTGTGACTTATTGGCGTGAGCCTTCCTCCAGCCTCACACACTCCACACGCTCTCCCTCGCCTGCTCATGCGCATTACGTTACCATGCGCTGAGCATGCCTGCTCTCCCCTCCCCTATATATGTTTTCTGATGGTCTTGATAACCCCCCACCCCCCGGGGTCCCAAATCCCAGGTTAAGATATGCTGCTAAAAAAGGGAAGAAAGCTTTCCGATTCAAACATAACGAATTTTAAGTCATTCAAAGTCATTGCAGTGCCAGAAGGTAAATGCCATTGCAAAATTCTTACTGGAAAGATCTGAAAGGAAGGCAGAGGTGATACGTACGGCTGATTTGTTGGCCAATCTTCTCCAGCTGGCAATGGAGGCGGTCAAAAATGGCCTTCTTCACACCAGAGGCAGCCACCATCTTGCTCTTATCCACTTTAAGTTTCAAACATCTGCAACGTGGAGAAAATGGAATTTTGGAAGCACCTCCGTAAAGAATTTGAGTGCTAGGAATAATATGCTAATTTAAACCCTACCATGAAATCCTTCTTGCAAAGAGCTGTTCGTAATTACTAGGTTCTTGTGGGTTTTTTCAGGCTATAGGGCCATGTTCTAGAGGCATTTCTCCTGACGTTTCGCCTGCATCTATGGCAAGCATCCTCAGAGGTAGTGAGGTCTGTTGGATAGGAAAATGGGTTTATATATCTGTGGAATGGCTGGGGTGGGGCAAAGAGCTCTTCTCTGCTGAGCTAGGTGTGAATGTTTCAACTGACCACCTTCATTAGCATTTGAAGGCCTGGCTGAGCCTGGGAAAATTTGTTGAGAGGTGTTAAGAAGAGGTGTTAAATCTGGCTACCAGTATTAAAAAAACTCTAAAATTACAACAGCAAAAACAGCAGAGAGGAAACAACCAGGCACATCTTAACACCTCTCAACAAAAGTTTTTTCCCAGGCTCAGCCAGGCCTTCAAATGCTAATGAAGGTGGTCAGTTGAAACATTCACCCCTAGCTCACCCCAGCCATTCCAGATATATAAACCCATTGTCCTATTTCCAACAGACCTCACTACCTCTGAGGATGCTTGCCATAGATGCAGGCGAAACGTCAGGAGAAATGCCTCTAGAACATGGCCCTATAACCCGAAAAAACCCACAAGAACCTAGTGATTCCAGCCATGAAAGCCTTCGACAATACATTGTTCAGAAACTGTTGACCACCTCAGCTTGCAACAGTCAATCCTTCACCTATCTACAGCATTTGTGGTACAGATAGACACATAGACATACCATTCTTAGATCAGTCTTTCCCAACCTGTGATCTGTGAACAACGAGTGGTCCGCAAGAACTAAAATATGGTCCGCGGCCTCACCGTTACTACACCATTGCAACAAAAGCAACTGGTCCCATGAAAGCCTCTTATAGTTCTGTCCTGAGTTGCCCTTCAAAAACAGCCTTCAGACAATGTTCAGCAAACACAAAGGATAAGCAAATGCAATTGAAAAGTGCAAAGGAAATGTTCCGTCTTCCAGGAGCATGGTTTACATTGTCTTTTGGTCACATCCCGCCTTGACTACTGCAACGCTCTCTACGTGGGGCTGCCCTTGAAGACGGCCCAGAAGCTTCAGCTAGTCCAGCGCGCGGCAGCCATGTTACTAACGGGAGCGGGACGCAGGGAGCATACAACGCCCTTGTTGTCCCAGCTCCACTGGCTGCCGATTTGCTACCGGGCCCAATTTAAGGTGCTGGTGTTATCCTACAAAGCCCTAAACGGTTCCGGCCCAAAATACCTTTCGGACCGCATCTCGGCCTATGAGCCCACAAGGGCCTTGAGATCATCTGGGGAGGCCCTTCTCTCGATCCCGCCCGCCTCACAGGCACGTCTGGCGGGGACGAGAGAGAGGGCCTTCTCAGTGGTGGCCCCCCGGCTGTGGAACGCCCTCCCTGTTAACATCAGACAGGCGCCCTCCCTGATGGCTTTTCGTAAGAGCCTAAAGACCTGGCTATTTGAGAAGGCATTTAATTGAGCCATACGAATCTGGTAATGACATTTGGAACGGACTATGGATTATGAGACGGGCTATGATTCTATGTTGTGATGGCGCGGATTTATTAGTGTGATTTAGATTAATGTGTAATTTGGTTGTTGATATATTGTATGTTTTGTAGACTGTTTTTACATGTTGTACACCGCCGCGAGTCGCCCCAGGGCTGAGAGCGGCGGTCAACAAATGAAGTAAATAAATAAATAAATTTTAGCTGCATGGGATAGTGTTCCTTTGCATTTCCCCAGGGCTGCTACAGACCCAGCAGCACCCTGGAAGTTAAACAGTATCAGAGTCTGCAAAGCCGGCCTGCAGGTCCTTTTTGCAGCTATTGGTTTAGGAGAATATCTCTTTGGGTTTAGAGACCGCCCTTTTTCCTAGGGTTTGAGGTCTCCATTTTGGAATCTCCCCTGCCTCCTTCAGTGCAGAGAAAGAAAGCTCCAGATGTGCTGTTGGTCAGGCAGATAGCTAGCTCTGAAAAAAATCATTGTAAGTACAATTAAGTCTTGATTGAGATAAAGAGAAGCTGATTGAGTTATATAGATAAAGAAACTACTTTAATCAGTGTTTCTCAACCTGGGAGTCGGGACCCTGGGGGGGGGTCACGAGAGGGGTGTCAGAGGGGTCACCAAAGACCATCAGAAAACACAGTATTTTCTGTTGGTCATGGAGGTTCTGTGTGGGAAGTTTGGCCCAATTAATCGTTAGTAGGGTACAGAATGCTCTTTGATTGTAGGTGAACTATAAATCCCAGCAACTACAACTCCCAAATGTCGAGGTCTATTTTCCCCCAAACTCCACCAGTGTTCATATTTGGGCATATTGAGTATATTTGCCAAGTTTGGTCCAGATCCATCATTGTTTGAGTCCACAGTGCTCTCTGGATGTAGGTGAACTACAACTCCAAAACTCAAGGTCAATGCCTACCAAACCCTTCCAGTATTTTCTGTTGGTCATGGAGTCTGTGTGCCAAGTTTGGATCAATTCCATTGTTGGTGGAGTTCAGAATGCTCTTTGATTGTAGGTGAACTATAAATCCCAGCAACTACAACTCCCGCAGGACAAAATCAATACCCTCCCCCAATCCCACCAGTATTCAAATTTGAGTGTATTGGGTATTTGTGCCAAATTTGGTCCAGTGTTTGAAAATACATCCTGCATATCAGATATTTACATTACTATTCATAACAGCAGCAAAATGGCATTTACGAAGTAGCAATGAAACTAATTTTATGGTTGGGGGTCACCAAAACATGAGGAAGCGTATTAAGGGGTCATGGCATTAGGAAGGTTGAGAACCACTGCTATAGATAGAGAGGCAGATTGAGTAATATTGGGTCTAATTGAGTTATAGATAGCAATTGAGTTATAGGTAGCAATTGAGATATAGAAAAGTTATTGAATATTATTAAGCATTACTTCTTCTCCAAAGCTAACCTTGAGCTATAGATAGGGAAAAACCTGTTTTTCTAACCATAGCAGCTCAGGGTTAGGGTGAAAGGATCCCAGGATATTTTCTACCTTTTGGGGAAGAGTTACCTCAGTAACTGAAGAAAAAAGAAAGAAAGATCATCTCTATGGTTTCACCAATTGACTGTTTTGTTTGTAACTTTGACAAGCTGTGCCAAGTCTGCAAGGACTTTGAGAAATAAATATTCTGTTTTGATGTTCAAAGCCTGTAGTAGCCTCAGTTGCTGGGAATCTCAAGCTTCTAAAGAAAGACCCCCGCGGTCCACCCAGACAAAGAGAGAAGCACATCTTAGTTTTATTTTTATAGGATCTGGGTGTGACAGCACAGGAAAGCAAGGAAGTTTTAATCCAGACACAAATTAAAGTCTCTTACAAAGTCTCAAAAGAAACACCAGTCTTCCATCAGACAACGGACGATGAACTAAGTCCTTAGCAGCAGACACAAAGCAGATTCCATTGGAGTGAATATATCAGTATCAGGGTCGTTGTTACCAGCGAAAGCTGGCTGCTCCTGCAACTGATTTGTAGTCCTGAGCTCCCCACACAGGAGGTGCTAGGGCGTCTCCCAATTAGCTCAGCGTTATTAGCTGCTATACTCAGAAGCGGAGTAGGCAGATCAAAAAACAACCTGGCAAAATGGCACGGCCTAAAAGAATCCTACACCTTGTGTGACTGTGGAACAGAACACACAACTCCGCATCTGTATGCTTGTCCACTATGCCCTGCCTCATGTACAGAGGAAGAATTGTTGGAGACTACAGACAATGCCAATGCTGTTGCCCATTTTTGGTCAAAAGATATTTAGCCACCTGCGCTCCTTCTATTTTTATTGGTTTTATACTAATTTATGTAATTCTTTTGATATGAAATAAATAAAATAAACAGCTATCCTAGCTAAACGCCGTCTGTGCTCTGTCTCTTTTCGTCTCTCTAGAATTTTGGGCACTTTCAAACCCTCATTGTCTGATTCTTCTTCTCCCTCCAATTCCTGAGCACTTCCCTGCTCCCCTTTCTCTTCCGAAAATGAGGAATCCCTAACAAGTGACGAGGTATATTAAATACTAGCTGTGCCCTGCCACGCGTTGCTGTGGCCAACCTTCCCTCCCTCTTTCTCTCCTTCTTTCTCTCTTTCCTTCCTTTCTTCTTTTTCTTTCCCTATGTCTCATCTTTCTTCCATCTCTACCTGTTTCTTTCCTCCCTGCTTGTCTCCTTTCTTCCTTCCCTTTTTCCCTCCTCTCATTACTTCTTGACTGTCCCTTCCATTTAATAAGGAAATGAAGGGGAAGGAAATGAAGAATGGGAAAGAAGGAGGAAAGGAAGGAGGGACAGGAAGGAAGGAAAAAAGGAGGGGGGAAAGAAGGGAAGGAAGGGGGAAAAAGGAGGGACATGAAGGGAGGGAGGAGAAGGAAGGTGGAAGGAAGGAGGGGGATGAAGAAAGGAGGGAGGGAAGGAAATAAGGGTGGAAGGAAATGAAAGGGAAAGAAGGAGGAAAGGGAGGGAGGAAAAGAAGGAAATGAAGAAGGAAGGAGGGACAGGAAGGAAGGAAAAAGCGAGGGAGGGAAAGAAGGGAAGGAAGGGAAAAAGGAGGGACAGGAAGGGAGGGAGAAAGGAGGGAAAGAAAGGAGGGGGGTGAAGAAAGGAGGGAGGGAAGGAAATGAAGGGGAAGGAAATGAAGAAAGGGAAAGGAGGAAAAGGAGGGAGGAAAAGAAGGAAAGGAAGAAGGAAGGAGGGACAGGAAGGAAGGAAAAGGGGAGGGAGGGAAGGAGGAGAAGGAAGGAAGGAGGGGAAGAAAGGAGGGAGGGATGGAAATGAAGCAAGGGAAAGAAGGAGGAAAGGGAGGGAGGGAGGAAAAGAAGGAAAGGAAGGATGGAAAGAAGGAAAGGAAGGAGAAGGAAGGAAGAAAAGGAAAGAAAGGGAGGAAAGAAGGGAAGGGAGGGAGAGAAGGAAGGTCCTTCATTCAAGCACCGTGGACCTTCCTCCTCCCCCTCCCCCCTCCCCTTCTTCCTTGCGTGGATGCTCCGTTGCTGCTGCCATTGCTGCTGCTTTCCCAACAGGTAGTGAGGGAGCCTGTGTGTGTGTGTGCCGCGCGGGGGGTGGGGGGGGGTGAGGGTGTGTGTGTGTGTGTGCCGGAAGGAAGGGGGCATGTCTTACTGGAGTGAATGTGTGTGTGTGTGGCGGAGGTGTGTGTGGGCGGCGGGGGGAGGAGTGAAGGAGCGTTGTGTGTGTGTGTTTGCGACGGGGAGGAGTGAGTCAGGGAGGGAAGGGGTGGGGGGAAAGGAAGGGGGCGTGTCTTACCGGCGTGAGTGTGCTTGGGCCGCCGCGGCGAAGGGAGGGGGCATGTCTTACCGGCGGAGGGTGGGAGGAGGGAAAGAGTGAGACAGGGAGGGAAGGGGTGGGGGGGAAGGGAGGGAGGGAGGGGGCGTGTCTTACCGGCGTGAGTGTGTGTGTGTGGCGGCGTGAGCAGGGTAAGATGAAGGAGGGTGAGTTGCGATGGTTTTGACAGGGCGGGAAGCGGCGCGGCGTGAGGATGGGGGCGTGGCTTGCGCGGAGGGAACATTGGCCGCCAGGCCATGTGCGCGTGCCAGGGAACTTGCGGCTGGGTGCCAATGCGCATGCTCAGTTGTTTTGCCGTTTTGTGAGTGTGTTGTTGTGTTGTTTTTCATTTTGAGTAGATATGTTTGTACCTTGTGGGTTGTGTTATGGGCATGGGAATTTTGGTTAAGTTTTGTTGGGGTATTTTTGAGTTTTGTTGTTTTGCCGTTTTGTGAGTGTGTTGTTGTGTTGTTTTTCATTTTGAGTAGTTATGTTTGTGTGGGTGAGCAGATGGCGACTACTGGATGGCATATGTTCTGTATCAGAAACTAGAGCTGATGTGGTCTATCCAATGCAATTTTCTGAATCGGCACTCCAAATAACCAAACCAAATCTAAAGTTGACCACAAACTGATTTGTAACCCTTCTGGTAATAATGTTGGAGAATGGTTCCCTGTATATTGTCTTGTGAGGTTCCTCAGGGTTCAATATTGTCTCCCATGTTGTTTAACATCTACATGAAGCCGCTGGGCGAGATCATCCGGAGTTTCGGAGTGTGATGTCATCTGTACGCAGATGATGTCCAACTCTGTCACTCCTTCCCACCTGCTACTAAGGAGGCTGTCGAGGTCCTGAACCGGTGCTTGGCCGCTGTGACGGTCTGGATGAGGGCGAACAAATTGAAACTGAATCCAGACAAGACAGAGGTCCAACTGGTTAGTCGTAAGGCCGAACAGGGTATAGGGTTACAGCCTGTGTTGGACGGGGTCGCACTCCCCCTGAAGACGCAGGTTCGCAGCTTGGGTGTGATCCTGGATTCATCACTGAGCCTGGAACCCCAGGTTTCGGCGGTGACCAGGGGAGCATTTGCACAACTAAAACTTGTGCGCCAGCTGCACCCGTACCTTGGGAAGTCTGACTTGGCCACGGTAGTCCACGCTCTGGTTACATCCCGTTTAGACTACTGCAACGCTCTCTACGTGGGGTTGCCTTTGAAGACTGCTCGGAAGCTTCAATTGGTTCAACGTTCGGCAGCCATGATACTAACAGGAGCGGCACTCAGGGAGCATACAACTCCTCTGCTGCGCCAGCTCCACTGGCTACCAATTTGCTACCGGGCACAATTCAAAGTGCTGGCGTTGGCCTATAAAGCCCTAAACGGTTCTGGCCCAAGTTACCTATCCGAACGCATCTCCGCCTATGAGCCCACCAGGACTTTAAGATCTTCTGGGAAGGCCCTGCTCTCGATCCCGCCTGCAACACAGGCACGTTTGGCGGGGACGAGGGACAGGGCCTTCTCAGTGGTGGACCCTCGGCTGTGGAACGCCCTTCCCATGTTCATTAGATTGGCCCCTTCGTTAATGGTGTTTCGAAGAACACTGAAAATCTGGCTATTTGAGCAGGCATTTGGAGAAGTAGTGCAATGAATATAATGAATATAGGAAACGGAATTACAGATGACGAGTTGGATCAAGATTCTAGTTACGAGATGCTAATGTGTTGTTTATTGATGTGTAATTATTTAGTACATTATGGTGTTAATTGTTTTAAATAGTTTGTATGTTGCCAGCATGGAAGTTTTGCTCCTGTTGTTAACCGCGTTGAGTCGCCTACGAGCTGAGAAACTGCGGTATACAAATAAAGTAAGTAAATAAATAAATAAATAGATACCGATAGATTTTACCTGCAAGCAGTGAACAATGCTGCAGTTGTGAATAATGGTTTGGACAAGTCAAGATCCATCTGCTGAGCTTCTGGTAAGCTGGATTCATACCTAAAACAGAAATTGAAGCAATTTCAATGTCTTGGAGAGGATCAAATAACGCATCTCTTTGTCTTTGCAACCTGAAAATCTTGCGTGTGCTTTCCACCTATGCAACCGTGAAACCAAAAGGAAATTGAAAGTCACCTGGGAAGGTCAAGAGCTTGAACATTGTTTCCATCCTAAATATCTCGGTGTAACCTTAGATCGAACACTAGCATATAGGAAACACTGCTTGAACACCAAGCACAAAGTAACTGCACGCAATAACATCCTGCGGAAACTTACTGGCAACACATGGGGTGCAGATCCAACATTAATAAGACCATCGGGATTGGGGCGCAGCTGGCTGAGTGTCAGCTGCATTAAAGATCACTCAAGAGTTCGAAGCCAGCCCGGGTTGGAGTGGGTTTCCAACCAATTGTGTGTAGCCTGTTGTCGACCTTTGCAACCCGAAAGACAGTTGCATCTGTCAAGTAGGAAAATTAGGTACCGCCTTAAAGTGTGGGGAGGCTAAATTAACTAATTTATGAGGCCATAAAGAAGACTCCAATACAGCATTCCAGCGGGGAAGCATGCGGGGAATGCGGAAGTGCTTCATCAGTGTCGCAGATGGATGATGAAAGCGACAGCTCCCCTGGTGGCCAGAAAAAGTTAAATAGCCTCTGTCTATGTCTGTATATGTTTGTACGTCAAAAATAGGCATTGAATGTTTGCCATATATGTGTACACTGTAATCCGCCCTGAGTCCCCTGCGGAGTGAGGAGAAGGGCGGAATATAAAAGCTGTAAATAAATAAAAATAAATATAAATAAATCAGCCCTGGCCTTGTCTTACTGAACTGGTGAATATGCCTGCCCTGTTTGGCACAAGTCTGCCCATGCAAAGCAGGTGAACATAGCATTGAACGAAACATGCAGAATAATCACAGGATGTCTTAAACCTACACCTGTTGATAAACTCTACAAGCTAGCTGGCATTGCACCCCCCCCCCATGTGCAACGGGAAGTTGCTACTAAATGTGAGAGAAATAAGGTCAAACACGGTGAAAGCCACCCACTACATGGCTACCAGCCTCCTCCCAGTAGACTCAAATCAAAGAAAAGCTTTATGAGAACTACAACTCCTCTTGGTGTCCCCCCAGCAACAGCAAGGGTATCCCTCTGGGCAGCTAAACCAGGAAATCCCAACTGGATGGCCCCCTGCAAGGGTCTTCCTCCAGGGGCAAACCAAGAATGGGCAACTTGGAAGTCCCTGAACAGACTCAGAAGTGGAGTGGGCAGATCAAAAGACAACCTGGCAAAATGGCACGACCTAAAAGAATCCCACACCTTGTGTGACTGTGGAGCAGAACAGACAACTCTGCATCTGTATGCTTGTCCGCTATGCCCATGTACAGAGGAAAAATTGTTGGAGGCTACAGACAATGCCGTTGCTGTTGCCCGTTTTTGGTCCAAGATATTTAGTCTCTTGCACTCCTTCTATTTTTATTAACTAGCCGTCCCCTGCCACATGTTGCTGTGGCCCATTCTGGTGGTCATGGGGGTTCTGTGTGGGAGGTTTGGCCCAATTCTATCATTGATGGGGTTCAGAATGCTCTGTGATTGTAGGTGAACTACAAATCCCAGCAACTACAACTCCCAAATGTCAAGATTCTATTTCCCCCAAACTCCACCAGTGTTCACATTTGGGCATATTGAGTATTTGTGTAGAGTTTGGTCCAGATCCATCATTGTTTGAGTCCACAGTGCTCTCTGGATGTAGGTGAACTACAACTCCAAAACCAAAGGACACTGCCCACCAAATCCTTCCAGTATTTTCTGTTGGTCATGGGAAAACTGTGTGCCAAGTTTGGTTCAATTCCATCGTTGGTGGGTTCAGAATGCTCTTTGATTGTAGGTGAACTATAAATCCCAGCAACTACAACTCCCAAATGACAAAATCAATTTTTTTGAGTGAAGAACATACATTGGGTTGTTAGGTGTCTTGTGTCCAAATTTGATGTCAATTCGTCCAGTGGTTTTTGAGTTCTATTAACCCCACAAACGAACATTACATTTATTTATTTATTTATATAGATTTTATACTAATTTGTGCGATGCTTTTGATACAAAACAACCACAACAAGAAGACATCCTTTCAGATATTTAAAATGGCTATCATGTCACCTCCTTTTTCTCTTCTTTTGGCTACATAACTCAAAGAACTCCTGCCCTGCCTCATGTACAGAAGAAGAACTGTTGGAGGCTATAAACAATGCCGTTGCTGTTGCCCATTTTTGGTCAAAGGATATTTAGCCCTCTGCGCTCCTTCTATTTCTATCAGTTATATACTGATTTATGCAATGCTTTGGATCTATATAAATAAAAATGTAATGTTCGTTTGTGGGATTAACATAACTCTAAAACCACTGGCCCTGGCCCTTGAGCGCTCCAGCTGGAGGACAGCTGTGACCAGCAGTGCTGCAGAATTTGAGGAGGCACGAGTGGAGGGCAAAAGAGAGAAACGTGCCAGGAGGAAGGCGCGTCAAGCCAACCCCGACCGGGACCGCCTTCCACCTGGAAACCAATGCCCTCACTGCGGAAGAAGATGCAGAGCAAGAATAGGGCTCCACAGCCACATACGGACCCACAAGGAAATCCATAATGGAAGACCATCTTACTCGTCCAACGAGGGATCGCCTAAGTAAGTAAGTAAGTAAAACCACTGGATGAATTGACACCAAATTTGGACCTATCAGACCAATGAGTGACCATCACTCATAAAAACACTGAAAAACACAGCAGAAGAGACTTAAAAAACTAAAAAAACAAAAAGTACATTACAACTACACATATATACTCAAACATGCATATACACACACAAAACACATATACACAGACCGGGCCACAGCAACGTGTGGCAGGGGACGGCTAGTACGAAATAAATCAGCTTCTCCTCATAGGTTTTGGTTTCCAAACCTTTGACCATTTTGGTTGCCCTTATCTGTCTGGCGTAAACATGAACATTTTACACTGCCATTCTTTCTGCCAATCCCATTTGTATTTCTGAACAAGGTTTGGGTTGGGAACCACCTTTGAAATGATGCCTACCTTTTCAGTATTTTCGATGCCACGTTCACCGCCTCCAGGCAGCAGAACTGGACGGCCAAATCCCGGAGGCTGAGGCTGGAACGCAGGCCAAGGAGGCTTTCAAAGGACCTCAAGGAGCTCTGGTACGTGGCCTTGTTCAGGCCAGAGAGGGTCACCACATAACTCTGCAGAAAATGAAAACAAAGGTTTCCCAGCCAGGACTGTAAAATACACTATATAACACAGTTTTTGTTCCAGGATTATAAATGTATCTCAGGGTGTCATGGCAGAAAATCCTAAATTATCTGAGTGTGGACTCAGATAACCCATTTCAAAGCAGATGTTGTGGGATTTTCAGCCTTGATGTTTTGGGGTGTGGGGCTGTGTGGAAGGGACCCTAGGAGAAAGGGGCAAAATGGAACAGTATTAAAATGTATATTGATCAAAAGTGTTTCTATTATATACATTATAAAATCCATATGTAAGATATGTAAGAACAGAGAGGGGACCAGGAAGACAGCTCCACCTTGTTTCCTGTACTATGCTAATAATATAATATAATCCATATGTAAAAAGAGAGAGGGGAGCAGGAAGACAACTCCATCTTGTCTCCTGTACTATACTAATAATATAATATAATCCATATGTAAAATATGTAAGAAGAGAGAGGGGAGCAGGAGGACAGCTCCACCTTGTCTCCTTTATTATGCTAATAATATAATATAATATAATATAATATAATATAATATAATCTATATGTAAGAAGATAGAGGGGACCAGGAAGACAACTCCACCTTGTCTCCTGTACTATGCTAATAATATAATACAATATAATCCATATGTAAAATATGTAAGAAGAGAGAGGGGAGCAGGAGGACAGCTCCACCTTGTCTCCTTTATTATGCTAATAATATAATATAATATAATATAATATAATATAATCTATATGTAAGAAGATAGAGGGGACCAGGAAGACAACTCCACCTTGTCTCCTGTACTATGCTAATAATATAATACAATATAATCCATATGTAAAATATGTAAGAAGAGAGAGGGGAGCAGGAGGACAGCTCCACCTTGTCTCCTGTATTATGCTAATATTATAATATAATATAATCCATATGTAAGATATGTAAGAAGAGAGGGGAGCAGGAGGACAGCTCCACCTTGTCTCCTGTATTATGCTAATATTATAATATAATATAATCCATATGTAAGATATGTAAGAAGAGAGGGGAGCAGGAGGACAGCTCCACCTTGTCTCCTGTATTATGCTAATATTATAATATAATATAATCCATATGTAAGATACGTAAGAAGAGAGAGGGGACCAGGAAGACAGCTCCACCTTGTCTCCTGTACTATGCCAATAATAGAATAGAATATACTGTATATACTCAAGTATAAGCCTAGTTTTTCAGCCCCTTTTTAAGCTGAAAAAGTCCCTCTCAGCTTATACTCGAGTTAAGGTTATTTATTATTTTAATCTGTTGTTGTTGTTATTATTATTATTATTATTATTATTATTGCATTTATTATTTTACTCTTATTATTATTATTATTATTTTTACTCTGGTATTATTACATTTATATATTCTATTATTATTGTTATTATTACATTTCCATTGTTTTACTTCATTATTAATATTATTAAATTTATTATTTTACAGTATTATCGGAAGGATACATAAGCACTTTTTACATTGAAGAAGGTTAGAATAATGGTTTAGTCAGAGTTGGATTTTAATTACAGGTTTATGTAAATATTCAAAAACATGTAACCTACTGACGCCTCAATTATTTTATTGGTATCTATCTCTATTTTGAAATTGACCAGTAGTCGCTGCATTTCCCACCCTCGGCTTATACTCGGGTCAATACGTTTTCCCAGTTTATTTGTGGTAAAATTAGGTTCTCGGCTTATATTCGGGTTGGCTTATACTTGAGTATATACGGTAATCCATATGTAAGATATGTAAGAAGAGAGAGGGGACCAGGAAGACAGCTCCACCTTGTCTCCTGTACTAGGCTAATAATATAATATAATGCATATACATATAATATTTATAATATTATAAGGTAATACAATATAAAACTAATAATAATCATACAATATTATAATTATATATTTTATATTACATGTAATCTTACTAATAATATTACAATATAATAGTATAGTACAATAAGAATTCATTTTGTTGGTTTTGTTTACCTTGTCCACGGGGTTCTTTGTGAAGGCCGCAGCCAAGTCCAGGCAGATGACGGCACGACTCGTGGCGGATACCTGGGTCAGTAAAGGGCCGCATTTCACTTGGGAGAGGCGTAGGTACTCTTCGGCTTTCCTACAACAAAGAGGAGAGTAAGGACCTCGTCACATTAACATTGATGGCCACGGTGGTCCACACCTTAGTTACCTCTAGATTGGACTATTATTTATTTATTTATNATGGAGTGAACAATGCTCAAATGTGCAGATGTTAAATTTGTAGAGCCTTTTACAAATTTAAGGATGGAATTATTTATTTATTTATTTACCTCACTTATATACCGCTGTTCTCAGCCCGAAGGCGACTCACAGCGGTTCACAACAAATACGAACAGCAAAAATTCAGTGCTAGAGTATAGAAACAGTAAACAACCTAACACATTACACAATTAATAAACAGTTACTACAATACCCATTCAGTGTTGCCTCGTCATCAAAAACATGTTCCAGATTCGTCATCCATTGTTCCATTCCAGTGTTCATTAACCAATCATTGCACTAATTATTGGAACGCCTGCTCAAACAGCCAGGTCTTCACTTTTTTGCGGAATACCATTAGAGATGGTGCTAGTCTAATGTCCGTAGGAAGGGCGTTCCACAGCCGAGGAGCCACCACCGAGAAGGCCCTATCTCTCGTCCCCGCCAGCCGAGCTTGAGAAGCAGGCGGGATCGAGAGCAGGGTCTCCCTGGAAGATCTCAAAGTCCTGGTGGGTTCATAGGCAGAGATGCGGTCGGATAGGTAGCTTGGGCCGGAACCGTTTAGGGCTTTAAAGGCCAACGCCAGCACTTTGAATTCAGCCCGGTAGCTGAATTGGAGTTGGTGCAACAGGGGGGTTGTATGCTCCCTGCGCTCCGCTCCTGTTAAAATCATGGCTGCCGAGCGTTGGACTAGTTGGAGCTTCCGAGCTGTCTTCAAAGTCAACCCCACGTAGAGAGCGTTGCAGTAGTCTAAACGGGATGTAACCAGAGCGTGGACTACCGTGGCCAAGTCAGACTTCCCAAGGTACGGACGCAGCAGGAATTAGATTGGCTCTTATAAGGTGTACTTCTCTGTATGCGGCCGCGTGTGGTCGTGTGTCATCAAAAAGAGCCATGCGTGTCAGTGCTGACACACGTGTCATAGGTCCACCATCACGGGCATAGATGAAACTCCCCAAGTGACATATTTATGTAATTAATCAGAACTGGGCGATAAGAGTATAAGTTGCATCTTCATTTAAAGCACAAATTCATGCACACACATACACCCTCCCAAACAGCTTAATGTATTGGCAGCATTATCAACATTTGCTATGAAATACAATATGAACTGTCCAATAAATATGATAGATCGTCTCATTAACACTTGATTCACAGTAGTTTTGAAAAGACACTACCTGATTTGATGACAGCTTCCAACCTTCATGCTGAGAGCATGCAGCTAATTACTCCTTGGACTATAATACTGTTTCTTGATTCTTGGATCCTTATTTTTATCTTCTAAATTATGACATGGTTGAGCTCTTCAAATCCACTGGGGCTATAAAGCTGCTGTCTCTGATGGATTACTCTGATTGTGTTACCGCAATGTATTCAAGTCATGCAAATGTATTTCAGTGAATTTCAAGGATGTCCATTTTTGTAGGTTTTCGATTGACCGGAACACCGATCTTGAGAGACAGTTCAACATTAACACGCAAGATGGAAGAATCACATTGGCAACCCCATTGGACAGAGAAACCAGCATGTGGCACAACATAACCATTGTCGCAACGGAAGACAGTAAGTGTCAATTGGTACTAACTTTGTCCTTTCTTTTGAGAATACAAATGGAGACGGTCCTGATTCAGACCAAGTATAGTGACAGAAGCCTATTTTTATTGGTCTTTCACTGAATCTGCCACAATATAGGGCAAATGAGAATGCAAATAAATTTTAATGTCTGGGTGAATTGACTTTCAATCCACTTTTCCACAGTGGGTTGTTGTAGGTTTTTCCGGGCTATATGGCCATGTTCTCGAGGCAATTTTTCTCCTGATGATCCGCCTGCATCTATGGCAAGCATCCTCAGGTAGTGAGGTCTGTTGGAAGTAGGAAACATGGGTTTATATATCTGTGGAATGACCAGGGAGAGACAAAGGACTTTTGTCTGCTGGGGCTAAATGTGAATGTTTCAGCTGATCACCTTGATTAGCATTCAATGGCTTGGCAGTGCCTGGGGGAAATCTTTTGTTGAGAGTGATTTTATTTGCCTGTTTGTTTCCCCTCTGTTGTTTTGCTGTTGTAATTTTTGAGAAATTCCAACAAATTCCAAGAAAATCCAACAAATGCTACGTGCAGTGACATCTCCAGCTCATCCCTTGTTTGGGTATCAGCCAGCACTTCAACGACTTAAATCAAGAAATACTTTTCTAAGATCTACAGAGACACTCGCTGGAACACCTCAGCAAGCGAGAGTCCAAAAGTGGCAGGCTCAAACCCAGAACCTCAATCCATGGCTGATACCCAATGAGAGACTCCCCCCTGGGCACACAGAAGACTGGGCAACTTGGAAGGCGCTGAACAGACTGCGCTCTGGCACCACGAGATGCCAACCTTCAGAAATGGGGCCACAAAGTGGAATCCACGACATGTGAGTGTGGAGAAGAGCAAACCACTGACCACCTGCTGCAATGCAACCTGAGCCCTGCCACATGCACAAGGGAGGACCTTCTTGCGGCAACACCAGAGGCACTCCAAGTGGCCAGATCCTGGTCAAAGGACATCTAAAGTCTTTGCATGCTGGCTGATACCCAAACAGGGGATGAGCTGGAGATGTCTCTGCCTTGGTCCTTTCACTATTGGCTGCTACTTCCCAGCGGATGTCAGGTGGTGAAATACCGGCTAAGCAGTGTAATTTCTCCAGTGGTGTAGGGCGCAGACACCCTCGTGATAATGCGGCATGTCTCATTAAGAGCCACATCCACTGTTTTAGTGTGGTGAGATGTGTTCCACACTGGGCATGCATGCTCAGCAGCAGAGTAGCAAAGCGCAAGGGCAGATGTCTTCACTGTATCTGGTTGTGATCCCCAGGTTGTGCCAGTCAGCTTTCGTATGATATTGTTTCTAGCACCCACTTTTTGCTTGATGTTCAAGCAGTGCTTCTGGTAGGTCAGAGCACGGTCCAGAGTGACTCCCAGGTATTTGGGTGTGCTGCAAGGCTCCAGTGGGATTCCTTCCCAGGTAATCCTCAGAGCTGGATGCTTGTCTGTTCTTAAGGTGAAAGGCACATGTCTGTGTTTTAGATGGATTAGGGATCAGCTGGTTTTCCCTGTAATAGGCAGTAAGAGCACCTAGAGCTTCGGAGAGCTTCTGTTCAACCATTTCAAAGCTCCCTGCTTGAGCGGTAATGGCACGATCATCAGCATAGATGAAGCTCTCTGTCCCTTCTGGCAGTGGCTGGTCATTTGTGTAGATGTTGACCATGGATGGAGCAAGCACGCTCCCCTGAGGCAGGCCGTTCTTCTGTTTCCGCCATCTGCTTCTCTGGCCCTGGAACTCAACAAAAAAGCTCCTGTTTTGTAGCAGGTTTCCTATGAGGCGGGTGAGGTGGTAGTCCTTTGTGATATTATACATTTTTCTCAGGAGGAGGCGGTGGTTCACAGTCTCATAGGCTGCTGACAGGTCTATGAAGACAGCTCCTGTGATCTGCTGCCTTTCAAAGCCATCTTCTATGTGCTGAGTCAGGTTCAGCACTTGCGATGTGCAGCTTCTGCCTTTCCTGAAGCCAGTTTGCTGTGGAATCAGACAGGGGTCTATTTTCGAAGGTGTTCATACCTCATTTTGAACACTGAAAACCTAGGCCCTGTCTAGATTGCCAGGTTCCGGATCCAGATTATCTCCTTTGATCCGGATTATATGGCAGTGTAGACACACATATAATCTGGTTCAAACCAGATCATCCGAATTCAGAAACTGGATTATAGCACAGTGTAAATCCGGCCACAGAAACCTTCCAAATGGAATGGAATATAGTCTCCTTTGATCCGGATTATATGGCAGTGTAGACACACATATAATCCGGTTCAAACCAGATCATCCGGATTCAGAAACTGGATTATAGCACAGTGTAAATCCGGCCACAGAAACCTTCCAAATGGAATGGAATATAGTCTCCTTTGATCCGGATTATATGGCAGTGTGGACACACATATAATCCGGTTCAAACCAGATCATCCTGATTCAGAAACTGGATTATAGCACAGTGTAAATCCGGCCACAGAAACCTTCCAAATGGAATGGAATATAGTCTCCTTTGATCCGGATTATATGGCAGTGTAGACACACATATAATCCGGTTCAAACCAGATCATCCGAATTCAGAAACTGGATTATAGCACAGTGTAAATCCGGCCACAGAAACCTTCCAAATGGAATGGAATATAGTCTCCTTTGATCCGGATTATATGGCAGTGTAGACACACATATAATCCGGTTCAAACCAGATCATCCTGATTCAGAAACTGGATTATAGCACAGTGTAAATCCGGCCACAGAAACCTTCCAAATGGAATGGAATATAGTCTCCTTTGATCCGGATTATATGGCAGTGTAGACATAAACACCAGCAAGGCTCATTAGCATGCAGACAACAAGGAAATAATCCCTTTCCCTGTTTACCTGATGATTGCGGGAGCAGTGACGCCCAACTTGGAGGCCAAACGCTGGATCACCTCCGTCTCCATCTCTTTACCCGTCCGCACCTGGAATAATTAAACCCGACTCGATTCCCGCGCTCTCAGAACGCCGCCGCACTCTGATTGGCTACTCAGCGGTCCAGCCACGCCCCTTCCGAACGTTCGCGCTCTCCGTCCCCGTAGCCACGCCCCCTCAGCCCTTCCCTTTCAGAACGTGCGTGACGTCACTCCTCTTGGGGAGGAAAAAAATGGGTAAGGAAGTCTGTCAGCTGTCAGGGAGGAAAATCCGAAAATCCCATTGGCTGGGAAGAATGCCCGTTTCGGAAAAGCCTCCAATGACGGTCGAGAGGCGGGAGAAGGTGGGCGCTCGTTCTAACGTCACATGACAGAGCGGGAGTAAGAGAGAGAGATATATAGGGGAGGGAAGCGGAGGAAGGAAATACGGGATTTAATTGGTTTGCGAGAACGCCCGTCTCCAAAGAGTAGCCAATCAGGATGGAATACGCGAGGCGGGAGGAGGTGGGCGCTCGTCGCAACGTCACATGACAGCGGGAGTAAGTTGAGCAGAGAGAGAGAGAGATAGGGGAGGGATGCGGAGGAAGGAAATACGGGATTTAATTGGTTCGTGAGAACGCCCGTCTCCAATGAGTAGCCAATCAGGATGGAATACGCGAGGCGGGAGGAGGTGGACGCTCGACCTAACGTCACATGACAGAGCGGGAGTAAGACAGAGAGATATATAGGGGAGGGATGCGGAGGAAGGAAATACGGGATTTTATTGGTTTGTGAGAACGCCCGTCTCGGATGAGTAGCCAATCAGGATGGATTAAGCGAGGGTCTTCCTAACAGCAGCCAATCAGAGACGAGGAGGAGAGGTTGAAGTAAGTTGAGCAAGCCGAGAGAGAGAGAGAGAGATAGGGGAGGGCTGCGGAGGAAGGAAATACGGGATTTAATTGGTTTGTGAGAACGCCCGTCTCGGATGAGTAGCCAATCAGGATGGATTAAGCGAGGGTCTTCCTAACAGCAGCCAATCAGGGACGAGGAGGAGAGGTTGAAGCGGAGGAGGGCGTCTTGTTGTCACATGACAGAGTGGGAGGAGCGAATTGAGCAGCAGAGGGAGAGTGGGCCCAGTCTGCGCGTCGCTGTGGCCGGAACGGAAGCTGAGGGTCGGCCATGGTGAGTGAACGGGGCCTTCCTTGCATGGAGGGGCCTCTGGAAGGGCAGGGAGGCGGGCCCACTTCGCCTCAGGACTTACAAGGCCTCGGCTCCCCGGGAAAGGCCTTCAAGTTGGGCCTAAGCGCCTTTGGGCCTAGCGAGAGGGACTCCTGAGGAGCCAGCCCTGAAGTAGGGAGTAGGCTCCTTCGCGGTGGCCCCTGGCAGAGTAGGCCCAGACAAGCCCTGCCTCTTATCTCTGTATATAAATGCCAATTCCTCTATGTTTGTTTGTCCCACAAAGCCACGTCCACAGTTCAATAGATCTGGGCCACACTTGGCACACAGGCCCTTCAGTGCCTAACCTGAAATAATGGAGAGGTTTCAGCTACAAAACCCACCCCATTTTGGGTTACAGCAGTGGTTCTCAACCTACCTAATGTCGTGACCCCTGAATACAGTTCCTCATGTTGTGGTGACCCCCAACCATAAAATTACCTTTGTTGCTACTTCACAACAGTAATTTTGCTACTGTTATGAATCATAATGTAAATATCTGATACGCAAGATGTATTTTCATTCATTGGACCAAATTTGGCACACGTACGCAACGAAAGCGAGGAGGAGCTGAGGAGCCTTCTAATCAAGGTGAAAGGAGAAAGCGCAAAAGCTGGGTTGCAGCTAAACATAAAAAAAAAACCATGGCAATAAGAATGATTGACAACTGGAAAATAGAGGGAGAAAATGTGGAGGCTGTAACAGACTTTGTATTTCTAGGTGCAAAGATTACTGCAGATGCAGACTGTGGCCAGGAAATCAGAAGACGCTTACTTCTTGGGAGGAGAGCAATGTCCAGTCTCGATAAAATAGTGAAGAGTAGAGACATCAGACTGGCAACAAAGATCCGCCTAGTCAAAGCCATGGTATTCCCTGTAGTAACCTACGGATGTGAGAGCTGGACCTTAGGGAAGGCCGAGCGAAGGAAGATCGATGCTTTTGAGCTGTGGTGTTGGAGGAAAGTTCTGAGAGTGCCTTGGACTGCGAGAAGATCCAACCAGTCCATCCTCCAGGAAATACAGCCCGACTGCTCACTGGAGGGAAGGATACTAGAGACAAAGTTGAAGTACTTTGGCCACATCATGAGGAGACAGCAAAGCCTAGAGAAGACAATTATGCTGGGGAAAGTGGAAGGCAAAAGGAAGAGGGGCCGACCAAGGGCAAGATGGATGGATGGCATCCTTGAAGTGACTGGACTGACCTTGAAGGAGCTGGGGGTGGTGACAGCCGACAGGGAGCTCTGGCGTGGACTGGTCCATGAGGTCACGAAGAGTCGGAGACGACTGAATGAATGAACAACAACAACAACAAACAAATACAAGAGACTCCACTTAGGCAGAAAAAACAAAACGTAAAGATACAGAATCGGGGACAATGCCTGGCTCGAGAGCAGGACGTGTGAAAAAGATTTTGGAGTCTTTGTGGACAACAAGTAAAGCCTTCAACAAGGTCCCCCGTGACCTTCTGGCAAACAAACTAGTCCAATGTAGACTAGGCAAAACTACGGTGAGGTGGATCTGTAATTGGCTAAATGGACGAACCCAGAGGGTGATTCTCCCCAAGGCTTCCTCTTCATCAAGCAAAAAGTGGGTGCTAGAAACAATATCATATGAAAGCTGACTGGCACAACCTGGGGATCACAACCAGGTACAGTGAAGATATCTGCCCTTGCGCTGTGCTACTCTGCTGCTGAGTATGCATGCCCAGTGTGGAACACATCTCACCACACTAAAACAGTGGATGTGGCTCTTAATGAGACATGCCGCATTATCACGGGGTGTCTGCGCCCTACACCACTGGAGAAATTACACTGCTTAGCCGGTATTGCACCACCTGACATCCGCCGGGAAGTAGCAGCCAATAGTGAAAGGACCAAGGCAGTGACATCTCCAGCTCATCCCCTGTTTGGGTATCATCAACGACTTAAATCTAGAAATAGTTTTCTAAGATCTACAGAGACACTCACTGGAACACCTCAGCAAGCGAGAGTCCAAAAGTGGCAGGCTCAAACCCAGAACCTCAACCAATGGCTGATACCAAATGAGAGACTCCCCCCTGGGCACACAGAAGACTGGGCGACTTGGAAGGCGCTGAACAGACTGCGCTCTGGCACCACGAGATGCAGAGCCAACCTTCAGAAATGGGCTACAAAGTGGAATCCTTGACATGTGAGTGTGGAGAGGAGCAAACCACTGACCACCTGCTGCAATGCAACCTGAGCCCTGCCACATGCACAATGGAGGACCTTCTTGCAGCAACACCAGAAGCACTCCAAGTGGCCAGATACTGGTCAAAGGACATTTAATCAACTACCAAACTCACAAATTTTGTATTCTGTATTTATTTTGTATTTTGTCTGTTTGTTTGCTTTGTTCTGTTAGAAATGTAATATAATTGACTGGTTGCTGATGACTCGATAAATAAATCTTGGAAAGAAATGACGAGCGGAGTGCCGCAGGGTTCCGTCCTGGGCCCGGTCCTGTTCAACATCTTTATTAATGACTTAGATGAAGGGCTAGAAGGCAGGATCATCAAGTTTGCAGATGACACCAAATTGGGAGGGATAGCCAAGACTCCAGAGGAGAGGAGCAGAATTCAAAACGATCTTGACAGATTAGAGAGATGGGCCAAAACTAACAAAATGAAGTTCAACAGGGACAAATGCAAGATACTCCACTTAGGCAGGAAAAACGAAATGCAAAGATACAGAATGGGGGACGCCTGGCTCGAGAGCAGTACGTGTGAAAAAGATCTTGGAGTCCTCGTGGACAACAAGCTAAACATGAGCCAACAATGTGATGTGGCGGCAAAAAAACCCAATGGGATTTTGGCCTGCATCAATAGGAGCATAGTGTCTAGATCTAGGGAAGTAATGCTACCCATGCTCTGTCCTGCCTTGGTTAGGCCACAACTGGAATACTATGTCCAATTCTGGGCACCACAATTGAAGAGAGATGTTGACAAGCTGGAATGTGTCCAGAGGAGGGCAACTAAAATGATCAAGGGTCTGGAGAACAAGCCCTATGAGGAGCGGCTTAAGGAACTGGGCATGTTTAGCCTGAAGAAGAGAAGGCTGAGAGGAGACATGATGAGAGCCATGTATATAAATAAAAATGTAATGTTCGTTTGTGGGATTAACATAACTCAAAAACCACTGGACAAATTGACACCAAATTTGGACACAAGACACCTACTAACCAAAGGAGTGACCATCACTCAAAACATTTTTTTTTATTTTATCATTTGGCAGTTGTAGTTGCTGGGATTTATAGTACACCTACAATCAAAGAGCATTCTGAACTCCACCAATGATGGAATTGAACCAATCGTGGCACACAGGACTCCCATGACCAACAGAAAACACTAGAAGAGTTTGGTGGGCATTGACCTTGAGTTTTAGAGTTGTAGTTCACCTATATCCAGAGAGCACTTTGGATTCAAACAATGATGGATATGGACCAAACTTGGGATGAATATTCCATAATAATGCACTTAATGTTTTTGCTTTATCAATGTATGTATTTTGTTTCGGCATCGAATTGTGCCGACTGTGTATACCGCCCTGAGTCACCTTCGGGCTGAAATGGGCGGGATAGAAATAATGTAAAATAAATAAATATGCCCAAATATGAACACTGGTGGAATTTGGGGAAAATAGACCTTGCCATTGGGGAGTTGTAGTTACTGGGATTTATAGATCACCTACAAGCAAAGAGCTTTCTGAACCCCAGCAATGACAGAACTGGGCCAAACTTCCCACACAGAACCAACAGAAAATACTGTAGTTTCTGGTGGACTTTGGCAACCCCTTTGACACCCCCTCGTCACCCACTAGGGATCCCTACCTCCAGGTTGAGAAATGCTGCCTTAAGGCCATCTATGTGAACATTTACATATACAAACACATATAAATGTGCATATACATTCACATTTAGACATATATATTATATGAAGATAATGACGCTCCATACAGTCATGCAGGCTGCATGACCTAGGAAGTGTCTACGGACAACAAGGGCTCTTTGGCTTTGAAATGGAGATGAGCCCCCCCCCCTCCAGAGTTGGACACAGTTAGACTTAATGTCAGAGGAAACCTCTTTTACATGTCTGTCTATATACTCATACATGTATTTATTAAGTATTATTGTATTTATTTATACCCTGCTTTATCTCTCCCGAAGGGGACTCAAAGCGGCATTAGTACACAATTTTAAAAAATACAAATATACAAACATTAAAACATAATTAAATATAAACTATATTAAGAATTCACAGTTAAAAACCATTCAAGCATATTCAGTCCATATCCAAGTTAAAACCACTTGATCGTAATGACACCTTTGCTTTCTGGTGCACAAACTTTGTATCACACACAAAATTATCAAAATTATTGTGTATAAATTACGTTTAGGCTATGCGTATAAGGAGGTCATAAAGGATAAATTATTCTCGTAATTAGATTTGGGTCCCATTAGCAAAATATCTTGCTATGTACGGATATGTAAATACAGGTATTCAATTTTTTTAAAAAAAGAAATCTAAAACACTTCTGACCCCAAGGATTTCAAAAGAAGAGATACTCAGCGAGTGCTAACAATGTCTGGAGGGTTGAAGTTCCCTCCTCTATCCAGCTCTAGACGTAGCATGTAGTAACCTTGGCTTATATGGTAAAGGCTAATGTTCCTAGTGACTGGAAATCCTAGGATTCCATAGGATGGAGCTTATGGAGCCCCCGATGGCACAATGAGTTAAATCCTTGTGCTGGCAGGACTGATAACCGATTGGTCGGAGATTCGAATCCAGGGAGAGCGTGGATGAGCTCCCTCTGTCAGCTCCAGCTCCCCATGCGGGGACATGAGAGAGGCCTCCCACAAGGATGGTAAAACATCCAGGCATCCCCTGAACAACATCCTTGCAGATGGCCAATTCTCTCACACCAGAAGCAACTTGCAGTTTCTCAAGTCACTCCTGACACATCCCCCCCCTTTTGATGGTGATGATGGTGATGACATGTCCTCTTTCCTATCCTCCTCTTCTAGCCTACAACTCAGCAATCCCCTCAAGATGAGCAAGAGAAGCTCCTGGATGAAGCCATTCAAGCTGTCAAGGTCCAGTCTTTCCAAATGAAGCGATGTTTGGTAAGGCTTTTGTCCTCATTCAGTGGGAAAAAAAGTTTAGAAAAGTTTAATTTGCTTTTAAGATGTGATGCAACTTTGGAAATAGCCAGTCATATATGTTGGAGTTGATTAAGACCATATATGTATGTATTTATTCATTTATTTACAGTATTTATATTCCACCCTTCTCACCCCGCAGGAGACTCAGGGTGGATTACAATGCACATATACATGGCAAACATTCAGTGCCATTAGACATACAACATATATAGACAGACACAGAGGCAATTTAACATTCTAGATTTCCAGCTTCATGAGGGTATGCTCGATTCCGGCCACTGGGGGAGCTGCCGCTTCACCGGCCACTTGTGACACGGAGTCCTTGATGGAGTACTACCTCATTCTTACGCATGCTGCTGGAAGGTTTTATGGTGCTGTAAATTAGTTAAATTAGCCTCCCCACATTTAAGTGGTACTTACATTTCCTACTTGACAGATCTGTCGTTTGGGCTGCATAGGCCAACAGCAAGCTAGACTATTAATGGTCAGGAGCTCACTCCAACCCGGGCTGGCTTCAAACTCATGACCTCTCGGTCAGTAGTAATTCAATGCAACTGGCTACTAACTAGCTGCACTACAGTCCGGTCCTACTTCAATCTTGCATTGTAAACGGGAAAGGATTGCAATGTCTTTGTGGAAGGAATTGCACATTCTGGGTTGTTGTAGGTATTTCGGGCTATATGGCCATGTTCAAGAAGCATTCTCTCCTGACGTTTTGCCTGCATCTATGGCAAGCATAAACCTACAACAAGCCAGTGATTTCAGCCATGAAAGCCTTCGACAATACCTTGCACATTCTCTCCTCTCTTTCTTAACCCTCCATTGAGGGATCCTTACGTTTCTCCCATGGAAATCAGTAAGACCCCTTTTAGCATGAATGAACAGAAGTTAGATCAATTCTCTCCTTTGTAAGATCAACACAGATTTCTGACTCCCCAAGTATTTTTAAAACCCGTGGAATAATACAAACCAGTGGGCGTAATTTGAGGGAATATTTCCAAGGAGACATACAGGCATATGGCATTGGTATTTACCATATTGAATCATCCTGAAAATGGATGACTATCAAGAACATGTTTCTGGGCTCATCCTTTTGTGCTAAGACATCACAAGACAGTGTAGTGAAGTGATCTGATTATTTATTGCGTCCCAAAACTCAGTTAGTGACCTTGAGCCAATTACTCTTTGTGTTAGTTTGTCCTGCTTCACCAGGCTGTAGGCAGGATAAAATATATGTAAATTCTGGTGTGGAAAGTTATGTACAGGAATACCTCGGATAACAAAGTTGATGTGTTCCTAGGCATTACATCTTGAACAGAAAAGACAGAAATAGCATTGAAAGCATAAGGCTAGGTTCCTACAACTCATAAAATAAGATCAGTTCAGTATGTTTTAGCATACTTTTTATCCACCCCTAACAATATGTAAATTTCTTTATTTACTTCATTTATATACCGCTTTTCTCAGCCCTTGAGCGACTCAAAGCGGTTAACAATAGCAAAATTCAATGCTCAACATCATAAAAACAGTTAAAAAACAATTAAATCAATGACATAATAAACAATCAATTAAACATAAATATAACATGTTAGGACATTAAGATCATCTGGGGAGGCCCATCACAAGCATGCCTGGCGGGGACGAGAGACAGGGCCTTCTCAGTGGTGGCCCCTCGGCTGTGGAACGCCCTTCTACAGATATCAGATTGGCCCCCTCCTTATTGGCATTTTGGAGGAAAGTGAAGGCCTGGCTGTTCGAACAGGCATTTAATTAGGCAGTGTAATTGATTATAGGAACACGGAATAACGGATGATGAGACTGGATTCTTATTCTATTGATGAGACGTAAATGATTTGTCATATTGATGTTTAATTGTTATGCTATTGCTTTTAAATGTTCAAATGATTTTGTAATGTTTGTATTGAAACTGTTGAGTCGCCTAAGGGCTGAGAAAACGGTATATAAATGAAATAAATAATAAATAAATAAATAACATCTCATTAGCGTCTCATAGGTAGAATCAAGATCCAATCTCATCATTGGTTGTTCTATATTCTTATATTCATTACACTGCCTATTCAAATGCCTGCTCGAACAACCAGGTCTTCACTTTCCTCCGAAATGCTAATAGGGAGGGGGCCGATGTAATTTCTGTAGGAAGGGCATTCTACAGCTGGGGGGCCACCACTGAGAAGGCCCTGTCTCTTGTCCCCGCCAGGCGTGCCTGCGATGTAGGCGGGACCAAGAGCAGGGCCTTACCAGAGGATCTTAATGTCCTAGCTGGTTCATAGGAGGAGATGCGTTCAGACAGGTAAGTCGGGCAAGAACTGTTTAGGGCTTTATAGGCTAATGCCAGCACTTTGAATTGTGCCCGGTAGCAAACTGGCAGCCAGTGGAGCTGGCGCAACAGAGGGGTTGTATGCTCCCTGAGTGCTACTCCTGTTAATAACCTGGCTGCTGAGCATTGGACCATTTGAAGCTTCCGAACAGTCTTCAAAGGAAATCCCCACGTAGAGAGCGTTGCAGTAGTCTATACGGGATGTAACCAGAGAGTAGACTACCGTGGCCAAGTCAGACTTCCCAAGGCGCACAAGTTTTAACTGTGCAAATGCTGCCCTGGTCACCGCTGAAACCTGGGGTTCCAGGCTCAGTGATGAGTCCAGGATCACACCCAAGCTGCGAATCTGCATCTTCAGGGGGAATGTAACCCCATCCAACACAGGCTGTAACCATTTGAAGCTTCCGAACAGACTTCAAAGGCAACCCCACGTAGAGAGTGTTGCAGTAGTCTATAAGGAATGTGAAATAAAACAGCTGGGTCAAGTCTTGTGCAAAGAATAAGTATTGGACTGTCTAGAAAACTTGAAAACTTTTGCCAAAATACCACCAGAAATAATTTTCATATTTCAATTTTGTTGGTCAAACTTAAAGATCTGGAGGTTTGTTTTTCACATGCTGTGGGTAGCTGGTGAAAGAGTCATATCTGCTCCCCCCCCCCCTCTGTTTTGCCATTCATGTAACCTCAATAAGGATTTATGGAGTCACCTGCTGTTTATCTTGCCTGTTCCCTACAGTGGGATCGGCTAGAGTACAATTCTATTATTTCTTTTGATAAAGAAAGCCTTTGTTAACTGAATGATGCATGAACACTGCTTTGAGCTCAGTGGATGAAAAACAGAATATTTATTACATGACAAAATTGTAGCAAACTCAGTAATGCTTTATACTTAATGTGTTTCGTTAGGACAAAAACAAGCTTATGGATGCTTTGAAACATGCCTCGAATATGCTCGGTGAGCTGCGGACCTCCATGCTGTCTCCAAAGAGCTACTATGAACTCTGTATCCTCTTGAACTTGTCTCACCTGCTGTTCTGTGATCCTAGTTCCCTGATGCTGGGTTGGAACTTAAATTTCATGGACCCGATGGACGAAGCAATACTGTTGTTTAGAACTGGTATATGGACTACTCAAGGGCATGAGAAGCAATTTTTTTTTGGATTTTTATTCCAAATTATGCTTACTACTTACTTAGGCGATCCCTTGTTGTCGGGATTCACAAAAAGTTATTCACTACTTTTTTGGTGCCAGCGGTGAAAAAAATAAACTCCAAATATATATTTTTAAGGCTGAAGTCTGTCCAGAGTAGTGGTGTGTACTTTTGTACCCACGCCAGGGAGGAAATGCTTACTGTAGGAAGTATAGGAAACATACTTGCATTTATATGGGCAAGTGAGGATCCTTCTGGAATTCTAATGCTCACTTTGTTTTCTGCCCTGGATGCTGCTGATGTAGATCGTAGTCCAAAATTGGGGCTTGCATGTAAAACCTTCCCGTCAGAAATTCTTTCAGTTGACATCTGTCAACTAGCCTCCTTTCAGTGTTTATCCATCTCCCTCTTGCCTTGCTATCTCTTCTTGCAGGCTTAATCCCTTTTTTATGTGAGCTCCATTCCCTTGCGGCTTTAGTTTCTGAGTTTTCCAAGCTATTGATTTCTTCTTTGTGTTGTGGGGTGATAACATTCACATGCAGCACATCTGGGCTGCATCAGTCTCACTCCTTAATGGAAAGAAAAAGATATGGCCATCTCTGATGAGCTGCATTACCTGGAGGTGTACCTGACGGATGAATTTGCCAAGGGAAGGAAAGTAGCTGATCTTTACGAACTGGTCCAGTATGCCGGAAACATCATCCCACGGCTGTAAGTAATTTTCAATCTAGAATTCAGTGTTTATTTTTGTGACTACTTCAGGGTTGGAAATCATGGTGTTACCGAAGACATAATATCCAGTTGCCAAAAGTGGTGCTGGTATGACGCAGAATCAGGCACTGCTATAAGTGGCCTTCTGGTTCTCAATGTCTGTCCATACTTTGCCATTTTCCTGCAGAAACATTCATTTTACATGTCACTTTACCATTTTCCACCATAGGAAAAAGATATTCCCCATTCCTTTAAAAATATCTGGTTCTCCTTCGTGGTCTCAGTGGAGTTGCACATCTATATGTGCAGCTTCTGCAGATGACCAGTCGAAGAAACATGGTTACAGGTAAGCAACCCTGCTTTCTCCTCTGTGGAGTTGCACATCTATATGTGCAGCTTCCACAGATGACTAGTCGAAGAAACTTGGTTACAGGTAAGCAACCCTGCTTTCTCCTCTGTGGAGTTGCACATCCATATGTGCAGCTTCCGCAGATGACCAGTCGAAGAAACCTGGTTACAGGTAAGAAACCCTGCTTTCTCCTCTGTGGAGTTGCACATCTATATGTGCAGCTTCCGCAGATGACCCCATCGAAGAAACCTGGTTACAGGTAAGCAACCCTGCTTTCTCCTCTGTGGAGTTGCACATCCATATGTGCAGCTTCTGCAGATGACCAGTTGAAGAAACCTGGTTACAGGTAAGCAACCCTGCTTTCTTTTGTTTGGAATTTATTATTTATTTACGGCATTTGTATCCCACCTTTCTCAGCCCGAAGGCGACTCAAGGCAATTTGGGGAGTTGGTAGTAAGCCTTATTTAGATGACTGGCTGAGAGTGAGTAATGTTTATTAAGTGAAATGGAAAAATTAAAAAATAATCTTGACTATGTCGTATATTAACTGCTTATGTCCTAGCTTCAGCAGTTGTTTATGCTGCATAGCTATAACTTCACTTAAATCTCATTTCATATTGTGGAACTCTAGGATTTCTGATTTAACAACTCAACTGTTCATGACAGTGTAATAGGCATTCTAGCAAAAAAAAAATCTAAAGTATTTTAGCAAGCAGATACCATAATTCTGTTGGATGCAGCAATGGCAGTGGAAATGGTATCAAGCTATTATACCTGTGTGCTGCAGATAGATGTTTAGTGTTTCTCACTGCAAAATATGAGTAATCATGGGTTGTCTTCTTCCAGTTCTATCTATCAGAACCATTTAGAGCAGTGTTCCTCAACCTGGGGGTCGGGACCCCCGGAGGGGTCGTGAGTGAGTGTCAGAGGGGTTGCCAAAGACCATCTGAGAACAGTATTTACTGTTGCTCAGGAGGTTTCTGTGTGAGAAGTTTGGCCCAATTCTATCATTGGTGGGGTTCAGAATGCTCTAATTGTAGGTGAACTATAAATCCCAGCAACTACAACTCCCCAAACTATTTTCCCCAAACTCCACCAGTCTTCAAATTTGGGCATATTGAGCATTCATGCCAAGTTTGGTCCAGATCCATCACTGTTTGAGTCCACAGTGCTCTCTGGATGTAGGTGAAGTACAACTCCCAAACCCAAGGTCAATTCCCACCAAACCCTTCCAGTATTTTCTATTGTTCATGGGAGTTCTATGCACCAAGTTTGGTTCGGTTCCATCACTGGTGGAGTTCAGAATGCTCTTTGATTGTATGTTAACTATAGATCCCAGCAACTACAACTCCCAAATGACAAAAACAATCCCCCAACTCCACCAGTATTCAAATTTAGGCATATTAAGTATTTGTGCCAGTGAATGAAAATACATCCTGCATATCAGATATTTACATTATAATTCATAACAGTAGCAAAACTATAGTTTTGAAGTTGCAATAAAATATTATGGTTGGGGGGTCACCACAACATGAGGAACTGTATTAAGGGGTCACGGCATTAGGAAGGTTGAGAACCCCTGATTTAGAGGTTTCTTTTACAACTTATGCTCTGAACTATAGCAATTTCAGTATAGATTTGTATTTTGAGTATACAATGGTCTAACTCCAGTATATAGTTCCACCTAGAGTGGATTCATTGAATTAATTGTTGTATGGTAATTCAGCACTTAGGTCAGGTATGGGCAAACTTTGGCCCTCCAGGTGTTTTGGACTTCAACTCCCACAATTCCTAACAGCCGATTAGGCTGTTAGGAATTGTGGGAGTTGAAGTCCAAAACACCTGGAGGGCCAAAGTTTGCCCATACCTGACTTAGGTGAATTCCATTAATTGAATCGATTTAGTCAGGTTGGGACTAGAGATAGGATTTAGCCCAGAGGGTGATTTATGGAGAGCTGGAGTTTGTTGACTCCATTCCTGACACCTCTGTTGATAACTCCCTCTTGCTTGAGGGTGTTGCCATGTTGGCTATAGCATTTGCAGCCTGCTGGATATTAGAACTGGAAATCGATTTCCTTGTTTGTTTTGAATTGACTGATTCTACTTGCGTCTCTCTTCCCAGCTATTTACTCATAACTGTGGGGGTTGTTTACGTGAAGTCATTCCCTCAGTCCAGGAAGGACATCTTGAAAGATTTGGTGGAAATGTGTCGTGGTGTCCAGCATCCTCTGAGAGGCCTGTTTCTTCGCAACTACCTCCTTCAGTGCACAAGAAATATTTTGCCAGATGATGGAGAACAGACAGAGTAAGTGGGAGCATCGTGGGGATAAAGTGTAGTGTTCCCAAATTAAATGTATGTTGCATTTGTTAGATGTTAGAATTTTATTTATTTATTTATTTACAACATTTATATGCCGCCCTTCTCACCCCGAAGGGGACTCAGAGCGGCTTACAAATAAAATGTAAATACAATATATTATATCATTACCATAGCACAATGTTTGTCAGGACCCAGAAGCCTTAAACAATGCCAGACACAGATAAAAGGTTCAAACACAGCTTTATTGCAAACAAAAGGACCTACAACGCACTTATCTTTAGTGCTAAGGCCCGCTGGAGCAATTTGGCACCAAAATAAAGTAAATAGGAGTAACAAAAATATAATCCGGATTATAGTGCTGCCTAATAATCCAGATTAAACCAAAGATGAAGCGAATTGCTTAAAAATCGAAATAGGACAAAAGCACAGTCTCTGAAGCTGGAAAAGCGTCGTTTCAAAACTCAAAGTTGTTACAGTCACAAAAGTATAATCATACAAAGTCCAGAAGTCCAAAATCGTAGTCAAACCGGTCCGTAGTCAATTCCGTTGAGAAGCAAGGCTGGAACGCTGGAGTCACCGAGGAAACAGGAGTACAGGAACACACGAAGCTATAACCCAGGACCCAAGGTGGAAAGTTGGCAGTACAAAGAATTATGTCCCATGAAGACACTTTGCCTTCTGCGACTTGTAGTCCAAACTGAACCCATTTTTATCTCAAAGTTCTTCCTCAGAGGTTGATGAGCTCCCCACCCTCTCGTCATCACTCCCAGCTGCTCCCAAACCTGCAGCTGAATGCCCATCCCTCCACCTCTGCCAACGATTATCAGGGTTCAGATCCTGCCAAGAGTCCCCTGGCTGCCAATCCCCAGTGAACCCCTCAAATTCCTCACTACAGGTGGGCTGGTTGCAGATATCCTTTATGTTTTGCACACGGGTCCAATCTAACTCCTCATCTTCTTCCATATCACTCCCAGTCCCAGAACTCCTTTCAAACCCAAGGAAATCTTCATCCTCTGTTGGTGCACAAAGTATTTCCCGAATACGCTTCCTTTGTAATTCCCCTTCAGACTCTGGCTCACGAGCAGCCCTCTTTACACCTCTGCTCACTTCCCCATCTCACAATCGGAGAAACCTGGGAACGTGTCAGTCTCGCTTGGAGCCATAATGATTTCCCTAATGCGCTGACACTGCTGTTCTCCCTCCGACTCCAAAGTAGATCCATTCTCCCTGCTACTAGGAGTAGCAACTCGAGCAACACGCTGAACTACAACAATATTAATATTATATATTACATTGTACTATAACATTATGCTGTAATATTATTAGTAATATTACATGTAATATAAATATATAATATCATATTATTATTAGTATTATATTGTATTACATTATAAAATTATCAATCTATATAAATAAAAATGTATTGTTCGTTTGTGGGATTAACAGAACTCAAAAACACTGGACAAATTGACATGAAATGTGGACACGATACACTTAACATCCCAATATATGTCCTTCACTAAAAAAATGATTCTGTCATTTGGGAGTTGTAGTTGCTGGGATTTATAGTTCACCTACCATCAAAGAGCATTCTGAACTCCTCCAACGATGGAATTGAAACAAACTTGGCACACAGTTCTCCCATGACCAGCAGAAAATACTGGAAGGGTTTGGTGGGCAGCGTCCTTTGGTTTTGAAGTTGTAGTTCACCTACATCCAGAGAGCACTGTGGACTCAAACAATGATGGATCTGGACAAAACTCTACACGAATACTCAATACCCAAATCTGAACAAACTCAGCACACAGGACTCCCATGACCAACAGAAAACACTTGAAGGGTTTGGTGGGCATTGACCTTGAGTTTAGGAGTTGTAGTTCACCTACATCCAGAGAGCACTGTGGACTCAAACAATGATGGATCTGGACCAAACTTGGCACAAGCACTCAATACACCCAAATATGAACACAGATGGAGTTTGGGGGAAATAGACCTTGACATCTGGGAGTTGTAGTCACTGGGATTCACAGTTCACCTACAACCAAAGAGCATTCTGAACCCCACGAACAACAGAATTGGGGCAAACTTCCCACACAGAAATCCCATGACCAACAGAAAATACTTAAGGCCATCCAATCCAACTCCCTTCATCAGGGCAAGAAAACGTAATCAAAGTCCTCCTGACAAAGAGCCATCCAGCCATAGATAGATAGATAGATAGATAGATAGATAGAGATAGATAGATAGATAGATAGATATGATTCACACACAGAGAGATATAGTATCATATATTTGAAAGGGACCCTTAAAGAAGGACAATGATATGTTGCATGTTCCAGGGTGGGCAAACCAGACACTCTCCACATCAACACTGACAAAGAAACAGCAAGAAATACTGTTTGCCCACATAAAGAAATTACATATATTAGAAACCAACACTTTCTCATTACTTTATTTTCCAGATCATTGGACTGGCCCACAGCAACGCATGGCAGGGGACAGCTAATATAATATAATGTAATGTAATGTAATGTAATATAATATAATATAATATAATATAATATAATATATATTTTTCTTGGTATAATATTATAAATTACTAGCCGTCCCCTGCCACGCGTTGCTGTGGCCCACATGGGGGTTCTGTGTGGGAGGTTTGGCCCAATTCTATCGTTGGTGGGGTTCAGAATGCTCTGTGATTGTAGGTGAACTATAAATCCCAGCAACTACAACTCCCAAATGACAAAATCAATTTTTTAAGTGAAGGACATACATTGGGGTTGTTAGGTATCTTTTGTCCAAATTTGATGTCAATTCCCCCAGTGGTTTTTGAGTTGTGTTAATCCCACAAACGAACATTACATTTTTATTTATATAGATTTTATATGTAACTGTTTTGACTTTATTTTTATCTTGTGGCGCATTGATTGCCAAATGTGACTGAGAGGGGCGGTATACAAATATAGTAAGTAATAAATAAATAGATAAATAAATAATGCCCTCAAAAATAATTCTCCTGTGTCCTTTCTGTGCATTTCTCCTCTTGGCCTATAGTGAAGAAATGACTGGGGACATCAGTGATTCCATGGACTTTGTGCTGCTGAACTTTGCCGAGATGAATAAGCTCTGGGTGCGAATGCAGCATCAGGGCCACAGCCGCGACAGGGAGAAGCGGGAGCGCGAGAGGCAGGAACTGAGGATCTTGGTGGGCACCAACCTGGTCCGCCTGAGCCAGCTGGAAGGTGTCAACGTGGAGAGATACAAGCAGGTGAGATGGAGCAGAGTTAAGAATGCCATGCGTAGAATCCATAGCCACGATATTGTGAACAGATGAGGCTTCAAAGTGTAGGAGGGAGGTCAAAATAATAATACAAAGCTCTTTTTTTCCTATTTGCAGATAGTTTTGCCCGGCATATTGGAACAAGTTGTGAACTGCAGGGATGCTTTGGCTCAAGAATATCTCATGGAATGTATTATACAGGTGAGCTGTGATGAAGACCTGGGTAACCTTCAGTGGTAGTATGGCACATCTTTTAATGTCTCACTTTCTTTGGGCTCTCCACTTTGATAAGATGGAGGCAAAATGTCAGGAGAGAATGCTTCTGGAACATGGCCATGGAGAATTGGGGCAAATTTCCCACACAGAACCCCCATGACCAACAGAAAATACTTAAGGCCATCCAGTCCAATTCCCTTCACCAGGGCAAGAAAACGAAATCAAAGCCCTCCTGACAAAGAGCCATCCAGCCATAGAGATAGATAGATAGATAGATATGATTCACACACAGATGCAGTATCATAGATTTGAAAGGGACTCCTAAAGAAGGACAATGATATGTTGCATGTTCCAGAGTAGGCAAACCAGACATCTCCACATCAACACTGACAAAGAAACAACAAGAAATACTGTTTACTCACAAGCATAAAGAAATTACATATATTAGAAACCAACACTTTCTCATTACTTTATTTTCCAGATCACCAGACTGGGCCACAGCAATGCATGGCAGGATGGCTAGTCTATATAAATAAAAATGTAATGTTCATTTGTGGGATTAACATAACTCAAAAACCACTGGACGAATTGACACTAAATTTGGACACAATACCCCTCTCAGGCCAATATGTGACCATCACTCATAAAACACTGAAAAACATAGTGGAAGAGACTTAAAAAGCCCAAAAATAAAATAAAAAATCCATTACATTACAATGTTAACATAAATACACATATACACAAATATATATATACACACAAAACACATATACACAGATTGGGCCACAGCATTGCATTGCAGGGGACGGCTAGTTTTAAAATATTATTATCTGCGATCCCCTGAAACTTTATTCCCAGCGTCTGGGGTAGGAAAGAAGTGCTGAGAAATCCAACCCACTGCACATTAACTGGAAGCTAGAATTAGTCTGCGTTGAGAGAGTAGGGGAAAAAAAAGAAGTGTTAAAAGCCTTGCAGGCACGTTTTCAGACCCAGGTAGTTATTTATTGGGTCACCTTACTCAAAAGATGTCGTAATGTCACATTCTAAGTAATTGCAAGCCACAAAATAATTTCTTTCCCAATAGGCAACCTTTGTGAGAGCTGTAATTTCTCCTTAAAGTGAGTCATTCTGTATGTTTTTGTCCTACAGCTCTAGTCGGCATAGTTAATGGTTAGGGTTTATAGGCGTTGCAATACCTAATATCTGGAGGGCAACCATTCTTTTTTAGAGAAGGGATGGGGAGTTTGTAGTGCTTGAGGTGATGTGGGATCAAAGCTCCCATCAGCCCTTAGCATTGCAGGTAACTAACTTGGGATTGCAGCCCAAATGTTTGTCTTGGAAAAGGCGCAGTTTTTACTCTGCATTCCTCTTTGTACCTGTATAAAATTAATGTATTTTTGAAGGCTTTCATGGCCGGAATCACTAGGTTGTTGTGAGTTTTCAAGGCTGCATGGCCATGTTCCAGAAGCATTCTCTCCTGACGTTTTGCCTGCATCTGTGGCAGACATCCTCAGAGGTTGTGAGGTCTGTTGGAAACTGATCTCACAACCTCTGAGGATGCCTGGCATAGATGGAGGCAAAATGACAGAAGAGAATGCTTCTGGAACTTGGACATGCAGCCTGTATACAACAACCCTGTATAAAATTATTTGGCAATAGTGGTATTAGTTGGAAGGAGGAGCAATGTGAGAAATGGTTCAAAATTTGAACCATTGTTCAAAATGTTGTTGATCTCCTGACTCTCTGTGATGTTTGATTCATAACTGCTGTGTTGTGTTCCTCACATAATTTGTGTGTTGGGTGAACCTATCTCCTGACTGACTTTTCTGCCATTTCTAGGTTTTCCCAGATGAATTCCACCTCCAGACCTTGAATCCTTTTCTACGCGCATGTGCAGAATTACACCAAAACGTGAATGTGAAAAATATCATTATTGCCTTAATTGATAGGTGCGTGCAGAATGTCTCTGTGGGGATGGGGAAGGACTGAATCTTCCAAACCTAATCCTTTTCTCATTCCCTTTTCATGATTTTTCCCATGTACTCTGTTACTCTTGGCTTAAAACCCACTATTCTAACTGTCACCTTCTATAATTGTGTTGTTTCCAGTTGTGGCATTGGATTGCAACTCTTAGCAGTCCTAATATGCATAGTCAGCAATTGGAATGCTGGAAGTTGCAGTCCAACAGCAACTAATGCAGTCCCTACCTTCTGAATAATTCCATATACACTTACTTTGGCGATCCCCCAATGTCCGAGTAGGATGGTCTTCCAAGGTTAGCGTTCTGGTGGGTCCGTAGGTGACTGTGGAGCCCTATTCTTGATCTGCATGTTCTCCTGCAGTGCGGCATCGGTTTCCAGGTGGAAGGCGGTCCCAGCTTGACGCGCCTTCCTCTTGGCATGTTTTCTTTTTTGCCCTCCTTTCGTGCCTCTTCAAATTCTACAGCACTGCTGGTCACAGCTGACCTCCAGCTGGAGCGCTCAAGGGCCAGGGCTTCCTAGTTCTCAGTGTCTATGCCAGAATTTTTAAGGTTGGCTTTGAGTCCATCTTTAAATCTCTTTTCCTGTCCTCCAACATTCCGTTTTCCATTCTTGAGTTTGGAGTAGAGAAACTGCTTTGGGAGACGGTGGTCGGGCATCCGGACAACGTGGCCGGTCCAGCGGAGTTGATGGTGGAGGACCATCACTTCAATGCTGGTGGTCTTTGCTTCTTCCAGCACACTGATGTTTGTCCGCCTGTCTTCCCAAGAGATTTGCAGGATTTTCCGGAGGCAGTGCTGATGGAATCGTTCCAGGAGTTGCATGTGACGTCTGTAGATAGTCCTTGTCTCGCAGGCGTATTAGTTAAATTAGCCTCCCCGCATAAAATAGCCTCCCCGTAGCAGGGTTGGGAGGACAATAGCTTTATAAACAAGCACCTTGATCTCCCTACGGATGTCCCGGTCCTCAAACACGCTCTGCTTCATTCGGAAAAATGCTGCACTCACAGAGCTCAGGCGGTGTTGCATTGCAGTGTCAATGTTGACTTTGGTAGAGAGGTGGCTGCCAAGGCAGCGGAAATGGTCAACATTTTCTAATGTTACACCATTAAGCTATATCTCTGGCATTGGAGAGGGATTGGCTGGTGACTGCTGAAAGAGCACTTCGGCTTTCTTGATGTTCAATGACAGGCCGAGCTTCTCATATGCTTCTGTGAAGGTGTTTAGAGTGGCTTGTAAGTCTTCTGAATGTGCACAGACGACGTTGTCATCAGCATACTGGAGTTCTATAACATATGTTGTTGTAACCTTGGTTTTGGCTTTCAGTCTGCTGAGGTGAAATAAATGTAATTATTAAATGTAAAATGTAATTAAATATTATATGCAATTCCATATTAATATAAATTAATTAATATTAATATTAATTAATGTTAATTAAATATTAAATGTAATTCCATATACATGTGTGCTTACAAAGGAATTGTATATTTAACAAATCTTAACAAAGGCCAGTTTCCAGAAAGAAAGAGAAATACGTTTTGTCTCTGGGAGTGTAGGAATCCAATGAATCAGCTGCCTGAAGCAAACTCAGTTTGCACTTCTTTCTGACTCATGTAAGCTCAATTAGTCATTGAAAGGAACAATTATGTGATGTGGGGGAAGCAACCTTTGGTACTTTCTATATTCATGCTTGAGTCCTTTCTGCACTTGATAGAGCTGTGGGTACAAACAATCCACTTTTCTTTCTTTAACACAGTCAGAACTGCAGGTATAACACAGAATCATAGAGTTGGAAGAGACCTCATGGGCCATCCAGTCCAACCCCATTCTGCCAAGAAGCAGGAAAATTGCATTCAAAGCACCCCCGACAGATAGCCATCCAGCCTCTGTTTAAAAGCTTCCAAAGAAGGAGCCTTTACCACACTCCAGGGCAGAGAGTTCCACTGCTGAACAGCTCTCACAGTCAGGAAGTTCTTCCTGATGTTCAGATGGAATCTCCTTTCTTGTCCAGCACTTCTTAATTTTAATTTTAATTATTACATTTGGTCCGGCCATTGTTTTTAACTGCGTCACTGTGTGTTGTTAATGTTATTGCTTGTTTTGTTTTATTTTGCTGTATTGTTGTTGTTTATTGTTGTATTTTGGGCTCGACCTCGTGTAGGCTGCACCTAGTCCTTCAGGAGATGGTAGCAGGGTACAAATAAAGGTTTATTATTATTATTATTATTATTATTATTATTATTATTATTATTGTAGTTTGAAGCCATTGCTCCATTGAGTCCTAGTCTGCAGGGCAGCAGAAAACAAGTTCGCTCCCTCCTCCCTATGACTTCTATCATATTTATACATGGCTATCATGTCTGCTCTCAGTCTTCTCTTCTTCAGCCTAAATATGCCCAGATCTTTAAGCCGCTCCTCATAGGGCTTGTTCTCCAGACCCTTGATCATTTTAGTCGCCCTCCTCTGGACACATTCCAGCTTGTCAATATCTCTCTTGAATTGTGGTGCCCAGAATTGGACACAATATTCCAGGTGTGGTCTAACCAAGGCAAAATAAAGCATGGGTAGCATGACTTTCCCTGGATCTAGATACTAGACACCTATTGATGCAGGCCAAAATCCCATTGGCTTTTTGTGCCGCCGCATCACATTGTTGGCTCATGTTTAACTTGTTGTCCACAAGGACTCCAAGATATTTTTTACATCTCATGATCTCGAGCCACGTGTCCCCCATTCATTAAATAGACATTCCCCGGTTTGTGCTGAAGTGTACCATAGTCACCTCTAACACAAAGAGAAACTGTTTATTAGGACATACTTAGATTCAATGAAAGTTGTCCTCAGACTTCCTTCCTCTTCCTCCGAAGGAAACGCCTGCTCGTTCCAAGAGGCTTGCATCAGCAAAAGACAAGTGAGGGCAAGTTAATGGGTTTTCCCTTCCCTCTGTCTTTTGCTCCCTCTCAGATTTTGGATTGTTAATGTCTAAAACTCCTTGTTGCTCATTTTAAAAATAACTTTTTAAAATAGTAGTAGTGTTTTATTAATGTTACTAGCCGTCCCCTGCCATGCGTTGCTGTGGCCCACATGGGGGTTCTGTGTGGGAGGTTTGGCCCAATTCTATCGTTGGTGGGTTTCAGAATGCTCTGTGATTGTAGGTGAACTATAAATCCCAGCAACTACAACTCCCAAATGTCAAGATTCTATTTTCCCCAAACTCCACCAGTGTTCACATTTGGGCATATTGAGTATTCGTGCCAAGTTTGGTCCTGTTTGAGTCCACAGTGATCTCTGGATGTAGATGAACTACAACTCCAAAACCAAAGGACACTGCCCACCAAATCCTTCCAGTATTTTCTGTTGGTCATGGGAGTTCTGTGTGCCAAGTTTGGTTCAATTACTTGTTGGTGGTTCAGAATGCTCTTTGATTGTAGGTGAACTATAAATCCCAGCAACTACAACTCCCAAATGACAAAATCAATTTTTTTTGAGTGAAGGACATACATTGGGTTGTTAGGTGTCTTGTGTCCAAATTTGGTGTCAATTCGTCCGGTGGTTTTTGAGTTCTGTTAAGTTTTTGAGCTTCATTAGGGGCTTATCGTGCTTTAATCTGGGAGAAAGTCTCTACGAGTATATGCTTCCAAGACATTGCCTCTAGGATGGGTCTGAAAGTTGAATTTCTGAAAATAAATAAATAAATAAACCCTTTCTTCTGACTTTAGGCTCGCTCTCTTTGCTCACCGAGAGGATGGACCAGGCATCCCAACTGATATAAAACTTTTTGACATCTTCTCCCAGCAGGTTGCCACTGTCATACAGGTCAGTTGACGTTGGAAACATTCCCATCAGTGGTGATGAAAATCCACACTTACTCTGTGTCTATTTCAGTTGGGTGGCTTTAATTCAGGCTGTCATAGGGGCTGGACTCTACCCCCCAAATAGGTTCAGCACCTTAGATAGCTTATTTAATGTGTAGACTATCATACTTTCGCCTCCCCTGTCCAATAATGTTGGTGCATCCACAGACTCTCTTTGATTCCATAGCATTTAACCCTGGCAGTTAAAGTGGTATTGAACTGTATTGATTCTGCATTGTAGATGCCCCCAGCACTCAGGTTGAAATAGTTTTTAAATCTGTCCCAGAGTGAAGCAGTGCTTCCTCATAACATAAACTGACTGAAGCAAAGTAGGTCTGCTCCTACTCAGGACTTGAATTCAGGATTCCCATGTAAGTAACCCTGAGGTTAATCATGGAAAATATGAATAGTTGGCATGGATAGAGTTGCTTGGATAACTCGTTGCTTGTAATAATTTAGTTAAAATTACCTCTTTGAAGCTGTAGCGAAGCTTTTTAAAAAACTTTGCCCTTCTCAAGCTTTTTCCACCATTTTTGTTATGACTCAGGAAGTGAGTCAGAAATTATTCAGCTTTTCCCCACTTCTGGTCCCTGGTCAAGCCAGAGAAGCCAGTTTTAAACCAGAGAAGGAAGGAATTTCCTGGCCTTGGCTCCAGCCAGAGAAGCCAGTTTTAAAGCAAGAGAATCCAGTTTTAAACCAGAGAAGGAAGAAATTTCCTGGGCACAGCTCAAGCCAGTTTTAAACCAGAGAAGGAAGGAATTTCCTCCGCTTACTTTTTCCCGCTTCTGGTCCCTGGCCTCGGCTCAAGCCAGAGAAGCCAGTTTTAAACCAGAGAAGGAAGGAATTTCCTGGCCTCGGCTCAAGCTAGAGAAGCCAGTTTTAAACCAGAGAAGGAAGGAATTTCCTGGCCTCGGCTCAAGCCAGAGAAGCCAGTTTTAAACCAGAGAAGGAAGGAATTTCCTCCGCTTGCTTTTCCCCGCTTCTGGAGTAAAACAACTACTTTCAAAGTAAAGATTACCCAATGAAACAGGAAATAACACTTTCAAACCATTAACGAAAGGATTCGGAAGTCTTGGAAGATTCAAAAAGTTTTGAAATTCTTTTTCTGTGAAAATCGGATTGACTTTAGAATTGAACCACAAGCACCCCCTACATCCGAAACGGGTTTTGAACCATTTTTTTTTATCAACCAAGCCTAATGAATAGGTATAATGTATACTCAGTAAATGTATAATCAGTAAATAAAAACAGCTTTTGTTCATGTCACACACTCCAGCCCTGTTTAGGTATTGTGAAAAGTGTATATGTGAAAATACAGTCTGAAAAGGTGAGCCTTCATTCTCTGTTGAGGTTCTCCATGCAACCCAGAACTGCAGGGAAATCACTGTTGTTGTCTGCATAGGAATCCTCTACACACACAGGAGGTTCCTTTCCAGAAAACAAAGAGGATTATGGAAATAACTGTTTAATAATGGGATGCTCATCTTCCTTGTGCCATGCCTGGATAGGGCTCCCATAAGTTACGATAGCACACTTACTCCTTCATATATGCAGCCTCAAGCTGTCTTGTTAGGTCAAAATAAAGTGTAAATATAATACGAATGTAATAATACAACTGCATGTTTTTCTATATTGTCTGCACTTCAGTCTCGGCAAGACATGCCTTCGGAGGATGTGGTATCGTTACAAGTCTCTCTTATTAACCTGGCTATGAAGTGTTACCCAGATCGGGTCGACTATGTAGACAAAGTATTAGAGACAACAGTGGAAATATTCAACAAGCTCAACTTGGAACAGTAAGTGAATGAACCAATCCCTGCATAAATATCCTTGGAAGCACTTTATTTTACCTGTTCGTGCAATTAAACCCTACTTCATCGCTCGAACCCTCTGTCCAGATACATTATATTGCTCTCTCACCCAGTGTTTTTAAGTTTATAATTCTTGCAAAAGGCCTTGCCCACTTTGATTAATTCTCTGTGTTCAAATATTGTGATTTTATATTGTCTGATGTGCTTAATTATAATGTCTCTTGTATTTTAATTTATTTTATTATATTTTTTATTTTATTATATTTATTTTATTATATTTTATATATTTTATATTTTTTATTTTTGTATTCTCATGCGTACATTTGCATTGTTGTACTGCTGTGCTTGGCCTGATGTAAGCTGCCCTGATTCCCCTTAGGGAGATGGTGGCGGGGTATAAATAAAGTGGTGCAGCTGGCTGGGAGTCAGCTGCATTAAGACCACTACTGACCGAAGGGACATGACTTCAAAGCCAGACCAGGTTGGAGTGAGCTTCTGACCAATTTGTGTAGCTTGTTGTCGACCTTTGCAGCCCGAAAGACAGTTGCATCTGTCAAGTAGGAAATTTAGGTTCCACTTATGTGGGGCGGCTAATTTAATTAATTTACGAGGCCATAAACATCTCCAGCAAGCCTGCGAAGAATGAGGAAGTACTACATCAGTATCACAAATGGACGATGAAGCAACAGCTCCCCTGGTGGTAGAATGCCCTCATGAAAAAGCTGGATTGTTAAATAGTCTCTGTGTGTCTGTCTATATATGTTGTGTGTCTATGGCACTGAATGTTTGCCACGTATATGTACATTGTAATCTGCCCTGAGTCCCCTGCAGGGTGAGAAGGGTGGAATATAAATACTGTAGATAAAAACAAATTGTTATTATTATTATTATTATTATTATTATTATTATTATCATTATCTTCTGCTAATCAGGATGAATGGTGGGGAAACAAAGCCTGCTGTAACTGGCTGATTTTTAGACTGAGGCTGGCTTTAAATAGGTATTTGATATTTGTTTAACAAAATGGTCTTAACAAGAGTTTCCAACTGTGGGATTTCGAGCCTGCCAGCTGCACTGCATCACGATTGCGTTGCTTTGATGTTTGTTTTTTGCTTCCTGAGATGATGACTTTTAAACAAATGGACCTGAGAACCATAATATTTACATTCCGCTTTTATTGTCCCAGCATTGCTACAAGCAGTGCTGTTTCCAAGGAACTCACGAGGCTCCTGAAGATCCCGGTCGACACGTACAACAACGCCCTGACCGTCTTGAAACTGAAACACTTCCACCCGCTGTTTGAATACTTTGACTATGAATCCAGGAAGAGCATGAGTTGCTATGTGCTTAGCAATGTGCTGGATTACAACACGGAAATTGTCTCCCAAGACCAGGTATGGCAGCACTCCCATAATCCAGAGGCTGAGCATACTATAGGGACACTTGGGCCCTCCAGATGTTTTGGACTTTTGGACTCCCACAATTCCTGGCCTCAGTCCCCTTCCTTTTCCCCCTTGACCGCTTAAGCTTCGGCCTACTCACTCTCCTCAGGATGACACTAGCCCTGGCCCACTGACTCTAACCGGCTTCGGCCTACTAACTCTTTCAGCGCTTGACTCACACTTCTTTTTTTATATATATAATGAATTTTTATTAAAGGATTAAGGGGAGTTGGGAACAAAAAAATGAGAGAAAGAAAAAAAATATTTCCAGTGTACATGAAAAGTGGGGGAACAATCATATAGAAGAAAAGTGAGGAAGAAAAAAGATAGAGAAAATTAAAATTAAAAAAATAAAAACAAAAATAAAGAAAAAAGAATAAAGATATATCTATATAAATAAAAATGTAATGTTCGTTTATGGGATTAACATAACTCAAAAACCACTGGACGAATTGACATGAAATTTGGACACAGTACACCTATCAGGCGAACGAGTGACCATCACTCATAAAAACACTGAAAAACACAACAGAAGGGACTTAAAAAGCCAAAAAACCCAAAAAAATTAGGTTACAACACATGCGCAAAACCACATATGTACAGAAACACATATATACACATATACACAAATATATACACATATATATGCACACACAAAACACATACACAGAAAGGGGGGAGAGAGGAAGGAGACGAGGAAGAGAAAGAGGAAAAGAAATAGGGAAGGAGAGAAGGAAAGAGAAAAGGTAGAGAAGGAAGGAAGGAGAGAAGGAAATAAAAAGTGAAAGAGGGAAGGAAGGAGAGAAGGAACGAAAGAGAGAAAGAGGGAGGGAAGGAAGGAAAGAGACAAGGAAGGATGGAACCAAAGAGCAAAAGAAACAGGTAAAAAGAAAAAGGGAAGGAAGGAAAGAGGGAGGGAAGGAAAGAGGGAAGGAAGGAAGGAAAGAAAAAGGGAGGGAAGGTTGGCCACAGCAACCCGTGGCGGGTACAGCTAGTAAAAGATAAAAATAAAGTTGTTGCTTGTGACTTCCATCTCCTCTTTGGTTTTCGGGTGCTTCTTTTCCTTAGTAACTGTTCATAAATGAAAGATTGTTTATCAATATTTTGTCAACACAATGAAACAAGCTTCCAAAATAACAATGACTATATACCAGGAGATTCTTCATAAGTACATGACGTCAGAAATAGTAACTCAAATATTGTTAAATGCAATATAATGAAATATCAGCTTCCAAAATAACAATTTCTATATTGTAGAAGGTTCTTCGTAAATATATGACGTCAGGAACAGTAACACAACAAGGTCTCCCGGGTTGTTTCCCTTGTTTCGTAATATCTTCTTCAGTTGTTATTATCTATGATGCTTGAATTCAGTTCTAATTAATAGCTTTCATTTATAAACAGTTAGTATTTGATCATGTTAATGTTCCCATATTATATTTAATGAAGAATTTCCTGTAATATAGAAATTGTGATTTGCAGTCTGCAGTTTTTGTATTTGTTGTTATAGATATCTGTGCATGTTACACGACTTTTCTAAGAGTCATAAGTGTTTGTATCCAAAATATACTGTATTTACTTTAATCTAATACTCACCTTTTTTTGGTTAAATGACCTTTTCAGAATTAGGGTTTGTATTAGATTCACGTAATATGGTAATTTCTGATATCTTCCAACTCTATGATTCTAATTCTTTTGATATTTGCAAGATGGACAATGGGAATCTTAGATTTTTAGGCAGAATCAGATTCTCCGAGCTCCCCTCAAGGAGTACTTCTTAAGCTATCGAGTGTAGGGGACTAGCAGAGGATTTTATATCTCGGTGCACTAAGGATTTTCTGCTTTGATTGAATATTAGTGGAATGAATGGCATTTTACTTGTATTTCTCAGAACTAAGTTGGTTTTTTCATTGTTGTTATCCTTCTCATCTCTGTTTAACGAGATGTATTGTTGTGTTTTCTTTTTCAGGTGGATGCTATAATGAACCTCGTCTCGACGCTGATCCAGGACCAGCCTGACCAGCCGGCTGAAGACCCTGACCCTGAGGATTTTGCTGATGAGCAGGGCCTTGTGGGCAGGTTTATTCACCTCCTTCGGTCAGATGATCCCAATCAGCAATACCTGGTATGACTTTTCTAAGAGTCAAAAGTGTTTGTATCCAAAATATACTGTATTTACTTTTATCTGACACTCACCTTTTTAGGGTAAATGACTTTTTCAAAATTAGGGTTCGTATTAGATTCACGTAATATGGTAACTCTGGCGCAGCTGGCTGGGAGTCAGCAGCATTAAGATCACGACTGAACAAAAGGTCATGAGTTCGAAGCCAGACTGGGTTGGAGTGAGCTTCTGACCATTGTGTAGCTTGTTGTCGACCTTTGCAGCCCGAAAGACAGTTGCATCTGTCAAGTAGAAAATTTAGGTACCGCTTATACGGGGAGGCTAATTTAACTAATTTATGATGCCATAAAAATCTCCAGCAACATGCAAAAAGAATGAGGAAGTACTCCATCATTGTCACTAATGGACAGTGAAGCGACAGCTCCCCTGGTGGCCGGAATACCCTCATGAAAGCTGGAATGTTAAATAGCGTCTGTGTATCTGTCTATATATGTTGTGTGTCTATGGTATTGAATGTTTGCCATATATATGTACGTTGTAATCCGCCCTGAGTGCCCTGCGGGGTGAGAAGGGCAGAATGTGAATAATGTAAATAAATAAGTAAGTAAATAAATGCATAATCTTAGTGCTGAGCCAAAGTGATAGAGTAAACAGCTTCAGGAGATCTTGGGGCTCCTATTTTAGGGATGTCATCACTAATTTAATTCCCACAGCGCAATGCTGTACAGTCCTGGGATTTGTAATTTGGTGAAGGCCCAGGTAAAAGAAAAGTAAATGTTTTCCCTTGACATTAAGTCTAGTTGTAGTCGATTTGCGGTGGGTGTTACTCATCTCCATTTCTAATCCGAAGAGCTGCCGTTGTCCATAGACACCTTCAAGTTCATGTGGTCAGCATGACTGCATGGAGCGCCATTACCTTCCCACACAAGCGGCACCTATTGATCTACTCACATTTGCATGCTTTCAAACTGGCTTTAGCCTATGAAGCCCTAAACGGTTCTGGCCCTACCTACCTCTCCGAACGCATCTCCTCCTATGAACCGACCAGGACGTTAAGATCGTCTGGGGAGGCCCTGCTCTCGGTCCCGCCCGCATCGCAGGCGCGGTTGGCGGGGACGAGAGACAGGGCCTTCTCGGTGGTGGCCCCTCGGCTATGGAACGCCCTACCTGTGGACATCAGACAGGCCCCTTCACTGCTGGCATTCCGGAGGAAAGTCAAGACTTGGCTTTACGAACAAGCGTTTGGCTAAAAAATGCAATGAAATACAGTAATACGGTACAATTGATCACAGGAATTGGTATAAAGGATTATGATTACGGATTCTGATTCTGATTTGTTTGCTGAGGCATATATCTAGGATTATGATTGTTTTGACCTAATGTTTTGTATAATGTGTTTTTTAACTGCCTTCTTGTTGTTGTTATGTTGACCTTTACTATGTAAACCGCCTTGAGTCGCCATTTCGGCTGAGAAAGGCGGTATAGAAGTAAAGCAAATAAATAAATAAATAAATAAACTGCTAGGTTGGCAGAAGCTGGGGCTAACAGCTGGAGCTCACCCTGCTCCCCGGATTTACACCGCCAACTTTTCAGTCAGCAAATTCGGCAGCTCAGCGGTTTAACCCACTGTGCCATCAGGGGTAGCTAGCTGAACCACTCACAATCTTCCACAGCCAACAGTAGTGATATTTGGCTGTTGCTGTAGAAACCTAGTCGCAGTTGCAATGGCTTTTTCTGATATAGAACTGGGGCATTGCCTTTCCACAATGTATAGTCCTGCTATACATTGACATACATGGCATTCATTGATCTTGCAAAGGCATTCAACACAGTGAATCGCAGCCCTCTCTGGACCATCCTCCAAAAAATCGGGTGCCCTGACAAATTTGTGAACATCCTGCGGCTCCTCCATGATGACATGATGGCAACGGTCTTGGACAGCAATGGCTCCCAAAGTGACCCATTTAAGGTGGAATCAGGTGTCAAACAGGGATGTGTTATTGCCCCAACTTTATTCTCCATCTTCATCGCGATGATACTTCACCTTGTAGATGGGAAGCTTCCCATCGGAGTGGAAATCATCTATCGGACAGATGGCAAGCTGTTTAACCTCAGCAGACTGAAAGCCAAAACCAAGGTTACAACAACATTTGTTATAGAACTCCAATATGCTGATGACAATGTCGTCTGTGCGCCTTCGGAAGAAGACCTACAAGCTACTCTAAACACCTTCGCAGAAGCATATGAGAAGCTCGGCCTGTCACTGAACATCGAGAAAACCAAGGTGCTGTTCCAGCAGTCACCAGCCAATCCCTCTCCAATGCCAGAAATACAGCTTAACGGTGTAACATTAGAAAATGTTGACCATTTCCGCTCCCTTGGCAGCCACCTCTCCACCAAAGTCAACATTGACACTGAAATACAACACTGTCTGAGCTCTGTAAATGCAGCATTTTTCCAAATGAAGCAGAGAGTGTTTGAGGACCGGGATATCCGTAGGGAGATCAAGCTGCTTGTCTATAAAGCTATTGTCCTCCCAACCTTGCTATACGCCTGCGGGACGTGGACTATCTACAGACGTCACATGCAACTCCTGGAATGATTCCATCAGCGTTTCTTCCGAAAAATCCTGCAAATCTCTTAGGTAGACAAGCGGACAAATGTCAGCGTGCTGGAAGAAGCAAAGACCACCAGCGCTGAAGTGATGGTCCTCCAACATCAACTCCGCTGGACCGGCCACGTTGTCCAGATGCCTGACCACCATCTCCCAAAGCAGTTGCTCTACTCCGAACTCAAGAACGGAAAACAGAACGTTGGTGTGCAGGAAAAGAGGTTTAAAGATGGGCTCAAAGCCAACCTTAAAAATTCTGGTATAGATACCGAGAACTGGGAAGCCCTGGCTCTTGAGTGCTCTAGCTGGAGGTCAGCTGTGACCAGCAGTGCTGTAGAATTTGAAGAGGCACGAATGGAGGGTGAAAGGAAGAAACGTGCCAAGAGGAAGGTGTGTCAAGCCAACCCCGACCGAGACCACCTTCCACCTGGAAACAGATGCCCTCACTGTGGGAGAACATGCAGGTCAAGAATAGGGCTCCACAGTCACCTACGCACCCAGCGCCAGTACACCAATCTTGGAAGACAATCCTACTCGGACAATGAGTAAGTAAGTAAGTCCTGCTAGTTTGTAGAACAAGTATCCTGCTACTGTCTTGAAAACCAATGTAATTTTTCATTGTGGGAACAAATAAAGGCATGGTCTGTTTTTTTTAATATACAAAAATAACTTGTGGGGAACTACTAAAGCTAAAGAGCAATTCCTGGACTGAGAGACGTTTATCTTGTGTGCCTGCAATCAAACTGGAAAAAACAAACAGAATTCAGTATCTACAAAGCGTATTATCAGCCCTGGTTATCCACTTCTGTCTTCACTTTCGTCATCTTGTTAAACTCTGCTAATCCTGTGTGGCCCAGTGTGAGATCGGTATCAGAGCTTTGGGAGCACAAATTGCAGGGAGTGTTGTTTTGATCTCCCCCATTCTCTCTTTGAGATAAATTTCTGGTTCTTTCCAGATGTTTTAAAAAATGTAACTTCTAGTGCATCTCACTCTTGGCTTTCATGGCTTGGGCTGCTAGAAGCTGCATTGCAACAATATCTGAAAATCTGCACAGAAAAGCCATTGAAATCCACAAGCATGTGGACAATTTCAATAGAAAGGAGGAAACCATGAAAATGATCAAAATGTATTTATTATTTATTTATTAACCATCTTTATATACCGCCTTTCTCAGCCCGAACGCGACTCAGGGCGGTTTACAAGTGGCGCAATTCGAGGTCAACAAAACAAAGAACAATTAAAACATTTAGTATAAATAACATTTGATAAAATAAAGTAAAACCGATAAAAATAAATCTGTCCGCTACTACTAAAAAACTTTAAAATCGGGACACAGTAAATAAAGAGCAACACTTAAGAAACAGGGGAATTCCAGACAATAATCAAATCAGGGTAGCTAACACCTCCCAACACAGGATCCCCCAGGAAGCAACCAGCCTGGCTTTGAAGCTGCAAGGCCATTAAATACTAATCAAGGTGGCCAATTGCCACATTCTCACTTACCTCAAGCAGACAAAAGTTCTTTCTCCCATCCTGGACATTCCACAGATATATAAACCCCACTTGCCTAGCTTCCAACAGAACCCTCAACCTCTGAGGATGCCAGCCATAGATGTGGGCAAAACGTCAGGAGAGAATGCTTCATACAGCCCGGAAAATTCACAGCAACCCAATATCTGAAAATACCAGCATTTCATTCTCAACATGAAACTGAGACATGCCGTTGGGGCCAGAATTCTCTTAAGGCTTTGTGCTCATATAGTGATAATTGTCTGCAAAAGTTATGCTTTTGCAGAGTGGCGTAAGGAGGTATGCCTCCTTATATAATAGTTTTGCTAGACAGAACTGCTAGACAGAACTGCTAGACAGAGCAGTGGTTGTTTAACATACCTAAACGGATACTAATAGACAATGGGAGTACAGTTTGAGGGCATCTAGCACCATTACATGTCTGGCTATCATTCTGCATCTTTTCAAATATCCTGATATCTTCCTGTAAGTGTGCTTTTGGACCTTTTTACCCCACTAGCTCCCAGTATGGAACTTGGCCAGGGAGTTTAAAAAAACTATATAGGAGACATTCTGGAAACCTAAGACATCCGACAAGCCTGATTTCTCAAACGTGGCTTTTAAACTACATACAGATGGCTCTTTTTAATAATAATAATAACAACAACAACAATAAAATGTGATCAGCAAAGAATATATCCAAAGAGTCAGAAAGGTTTTGAAGAGCAAATTAAATGGCAGAAATACGATCAAGGCTCTCAACCCCTGGGCCATCCCCGTCATTAGGTACACTGCTGGAATTGTGAACAGGACACAAGTAGAGCTGGATGATCTGGACAGAAAAACAGGAAAGCTGATGACAATCCACTACTCATGACACCC